AATATATATGGCCCGACCCCGGCATGGTCCATCCCTACCCCTATCGAATCGCTTCCCTCTAAACATTTTTCTACACCTATTCTTCAATTCTTCCTACTCTCTAATACTCTCTAATTATCTTCATCTTCATTTTCTCCAAATCTCTCTACACCTATTAATATATACTAGACGCAATATCCGTGCGATGCATGGATACATGTAGAGCAGAATAACAACTTGTTTAAAATTAACTTTTAGTATAATAATACGTAATACTCACTCTGTCCCTTAAAACTTTGTCATCTTTCCTTTTTGGGACGTCCCAAAAAACTTTACCACTTTCTCTTTTAATCAATTTTTTTGTGGTTTCTGTTATTTCTCTCTGCTCTGCACAAACCTCAACCACACAATTTTTACTTTATTATTCTCCGTGCCGGTCAAATTTGGCAAAGTTTTAAGGGACGAAGGTAGTATGCATTATTTTAAATAAAAAAAATATAGTAGAGTTTATGAGCGCAAAATCTCTTGAGACGCTTGTTTGCTTACACAATTGGTTGAAGGCCTAGCTTAGAACTCAAGAAGTTAGCATCTCACCCACCCGCCTATGGATGGACCCGGGCCGGGCCGGTTCCGGTTCCGGGCCGGGCCCGGGCGGGCTTTTTTTGCAAATCCTTGGGCCCAGAACCGGCCCGGGTTGCTACCGGGTCCGGGCCTAACCGGGCCATGCCTGGTTCAATACTTTTTTTTTTTGCTTTCTTGTTATCCCCCCACCCCCCTCACCCCCACCCCCAAACCTCCCCAAAACACCCAGCCCAACCCTAGAAAAAGAAAAAAAATAGAAAAAAAAATGACCCGGGCCCGGCCCGAACCGTCCGGACCGGTTCGCCCAAAACTGGGCCCGAGCCCGGCCCGGGTGACCCGCCACTTCATGGAGAAAACAACAATCGACGGTGCCGGAGATTCCAACGGATTTTTAGGGAATGTATTTAGTGTTTTACATTTTACTCAATTCTCAATTGTAGTTCATATTTCAAATAAATATACTTTAACTTTTTATTGTCTAGCACTTGTTGAATTAATTTTTAAACTAAATTATAAAAGAAAATAGCCCGACCCGACTCGAGGCCCGGTCAGGTAGCCCGGCCCGACACAGTCCCGGTACCAACCCGGGCCAGTAACCGGGCCTTCATCCCAAAACCCCACTCCCGCCCCGACCCATCCCAGAGCCGGCCCGGCCCGAGCATGGTCCATCCCTACTCCTGTCGAACCGCTGCCCTCTAACCTTCCTCATAACTTGGCCACCGCCCCCATCCCTTGCCACTGCTCCATGTTTCCTTCGACTTCTCGTGCCCCGTCCCCGTCATTCTCTCACCCCCTGCTGCCACCAGGTATATGCTAACTGCACCACCATCACCATCAAATCGAATCGGTATTTTTTGCGTCGCCGCTACCGTCCCCAATCCGAAACCATAGTAGTCGAGAACCCTATTCAAACCCTGATTTTGAAGTCATGCCCTTGGAATAGCGCAAGAGTATTAGTGAAGGACTGAAGGAGACAAAATCGATTTGACATCCCAACAATCTGACAAAAAGAAGAGAAAAAGAAGAAAGGCGTAGGATGGCAGGGGCGGTGATGTGAATGGTAGCTAAGAAAGTATGTCAGAGGAGGTTATTGGCAGAGGAGCAAAACTGAGGTTATTGACGGTGGGAGGCGGCGGAGGACACCAATGAAGCAGGCAGCTGAGGAGACTGAAGAAGCAAGCGAAGGAGACTAATGGAAGCCGGCCGCAGAGGTGGCTATCTTTGAATGGAAGAATAGTTTATCCAAATGGGGATGAAACGGGTAGGTTTAAGATTTCCTTTGTATTTATTAAAGGGGCATTTCTGCATTTTCAATTCTATTTAGTATTTTGTGTCCAATTGAAAAACTAGTCTTACTTTTATCCCAAGTAGCACCGGGACGGAAACGGGGACGGAAACGGGGACGGGAAAACGCTAAACTCAAAATATTAGGAAACGGGTACGGCAAGGAAACGTCACACTAGAAATTAATTTTTTTAGTAATATAAGTAATGCATATGTCTAACAACCCAGAAAATAATTAAACAAAACATACATCCTTGTTATAATCCATTCTACAAGCACAATAAATAAAACTTAAAAAGCACTACGTAAATGTTTCATTCAGTGATAAACACTCTCTCTAATTCCGGCTCATCTAAAGATAAATTAGCAAACTTCAAATAGCCCATTTCTTCCAAATTGCCGAACTCGTCTCCTCCAACATCCCACATCTTGGTCTTCTCATCTGCGTATTGCTCAGAACTCCTTGACAAGAGGCGAAGGTTGTTGTGCACAAACACCAAATCTTCAGCACGCTTAGGAGTTAACTTGTTCCGCCTAAGTGAATGGATAAAAGAGTAAGTACTCCAATTACGTTCACATGATGATGAAGATGTAGGCTGACCAAGAACTCTAAAAGCGAGCGTTTGTAGGATTGGTGTTTGAGCACCAAAGTTAGCCCACCAACTTTTAGGATCTGTGTTTCCCCTCTTTGAAAGAGATGTAATATCTGCAAAAGGCCCTGTCTTAAGTGAAAACGAAGCAAACTCCTCCAAAACCATATCGTAATCATCACCATTTGGAAAGAGCCTTCGGAAGCATTTCATCCTTTCTTGAGAGATCTCACCATCCCTATGAGGAGGGACCCTAGCGGGATCCGCAGCAAGCCAAACTTCACTATAAAACCTATTACAAAAATAATAACAAACCAAACTTTTATAAATATATATATATATATATATATATATATATATATATATATCATGTTTAACTAATAATGATACCTTGGGTTCAATGAATGGGCTAAGCAGTGAGGCGGTGTAGAACTCTTTGCCCAACGTGCCACAAGAATATTGTATACTACTTGGTAGAAAGCACTATACTCATCGAGAGACTTTCCTTCATGCTTATAGATTTCCACTTTGACTTTTTCAATCATGAAATCCCACATCTCATATACCAAATGGAGACACGCCCTATCAGTATCACATGCTCGAATCATACTATAGATGGGATCCGAAAAGGCAAGAATATAATCAATTTGCTCCCACCAATACTTACTTAAAATTTTCTCCCTCACAAACCTTGCTTTGCCTTGGTCATCCTCACGATATGATGCTCATTCATCACTCAACACCATAGCCTCCAGACCACGTCTAATAAGCTTAAACCTCTTAAGCATTACAATTATAGAAGCAAAACGTGTGTCCGTCACAGAAAGTAATTTAAGGGAGATGAATTTGTTGAACATGGATAACATCATAGTATGATTCATGATGAAATTTTTTATGTGAACAGCATCACCATGGATTTCAGTGATCCAATGACATTCATCATAAACTTCTGTGTTATTCTCCACATTCTTTGCAGCACATATGTTCTTTAAGGCAAGATTTAAAGTATGCACTACACAAGGTGTCCAATAGATGTGGGGATACATACCTTCAATGATTTCTCCTGCACCCTTGCAATTCGCATCATTATCAGTGATTACCTGCACCACATTTTGATGACCTATCTCATCAATTACTTCTTTCATCAAATTAGCAATGAATTCTTTGGATTTAAATTCACCCATACAATTCAACGCTTTCAGAAACATGGGACCACTTCCAGAAGTTGCCATAAAGTTAATTATAGGTCTTCGTTGCGGATCACTCCAACCATCAGTTGCAACCGTCACTCCTCTTTCTGGCCAAGTAGCTTTGAGTGGTTGTAATAACCTCTCAACATTTGCTTTCTCTTGTTGAAGTAAAGAAGTTCTTAATTTATTATAACCCGGGGGGACATAACCTCCTAAATTATGATTGGCAGCAAAGGAAAAAGCTCTTACATAATATGGATTCCTAGCAAGATTAAATGACAACCCTCCAGTAAAAAACATCCTAGCAATTTCTTCATCTAATCTCCCTCTAGCATCCATATCAAAAGCTTTCTCCAACGGACTACTACTAGCTTTTCTTTTATTAGGTAAACTAGTATTATTTATCCAATCCGTTTGTGATCCCGCTGAAGGTAAAGGAACATCTTTAGGTGCAGATTTTTTTTTATTTTTCTCAACTTCTTCTTCTAACTTTTTCATCTCACGAATATCATTAGGTTGGACCTTATTGCATATAGCAATTCCTTGTTTTGAAATTTTAAGCAAGTGAGCTCTTACTCTAGAATAAGATCCTTGTTTTATGCTATTACAGAAATTACATTGGAATCTCCATGTCCCTCCTGTATCATCACTTTTACCTAATTTGGTAACAAATTTCCACAAAGGTGTATTATCAACCCCAACAGAAGAACTCCCTGAAGCACTGGCACCATCACTAACTTGTAAAGTATGTTCCATATTTGAGGATAAATAAAGGGTTGGTAGTGTGGTACTTACTAGTTACTAGAAGTACTGAAGTAGAGAACCAAATAGCAAATAGCAAACCTCCAAACCCTTTTCTTTTCTTCCCAGTTCGCCGACTTCGCCCTTTTCTTTCGCACTTCCCAGAAATCGCACCTCAGCAGAATCGCAAAACCAAAGAACCAGAGTACCAAATGTTCAGCACTTCAACACCCAGCACGGCGGCAGCACCTCGTTCGCACTTCCCAGTTCGCGGTTCAACACTGTCTCCTTCGACCTTGGCAGATTCTTCGTTCGTAGTCCGCAGAGTCTTCGACTCTTCGTTCGACGGCTTCGACGCAGAGTCTTCGTTCGACGCAGGAAAGCCAGTTAATTAAAGCCTTTTTTTTTAAGTTGCTGCGGAAACGCCTAGGCCCAAGCCCAGCGACGTTTCCGAAACGTTTCCCAACCCGGCCCAGAAGCCCAACCTTGCAGAAACGTTTCCGGCCGTTTCCATGGCGTTTCCGGCCGTTTCCCGGCATTTCACGTTTCCGAAACGTTTCCGGGACGGAAACCTCCCCTTACCCGGCGTTTTCGTGCTTCCTAGCTTTTATCAATTGAAAAGAACAGGGTATCATTGTTGTAATTATTTTCCAATATTATTGGTGTCACGTAAAAAAAAATAACAGACTAGTCAATTTAAGATGGCAAAGAAGTAGGAAATATGATTTCCTTCAGCAGATTCCATGTGAAGGATTCACACAACACATATGATGAAAGAAAAAGATGAGAGTTATATAGCTAATTTAAAGAGATTCGAATGTGCTAACTTGGGGGTAATATTTTATTTCTTGACCCACTGCCTAACTTGCTTTCTTGGATTATGTCTCCTAGTGAAGTTCTTTTTTGCAGCATGGCCGTTTGATGATGAAGTTGTTTGAGAATTTCCCGGGGGGTCTTCTTTTTCATGTTGATGATCATCTGGTTCTTTGACATCATCCACTGTCGATCGCTGAAGAAGGTAAACACCTGGTGGACGTACAACTTCACGTGTTTCAGCTTCTATTAGCCCACCCTTCTGTTCTTGGATTTTCAATATAGCATCAAATCTATTCCTTCTGATTTTCTCAAAATCACAATGAAGAATCATGTCTTGATCGTTCATTCCAACTCCATCGGAAATCTGAAATTTGTTTGTAGATACACACACATGCAAACTTAGCAGAAAAGGCATATACTTCCTAACAGACAAATGTGAATAACTAGCTAAATTGACAAGAAAGACACAAATCCACCCACTCCCGCAATCTGATATTATGAACCCTGCAGAGTGAAAACGAAAAATCCAAGAGAAGAATAAACAGTGGAAGGCCAAATTCATATGCAAACATCTATCACCATTCACAACCCAAAATAGAGTTTTAATTTTTTTAAACACGTCCTTGTCCTTCCTGTTATGGTCTCAATTTCTATCAAAGGGATACAAATATTGTAGATTGTTTGCGTTCAGACCAATACATTCATTTCTCATGTAAGTACTCATAGGAAGTTGCGTTTTTTTGCTGTTACACAGCTGAGCTAGTAAACATATAAAGACGTACCCAATGTGTTTGCATTCCTACCATGCCATGTACATGTTCCATATCCTTCGCAAGAAAAACATTACGGCAAACCGGGCAGTTGCCCTTACTTTCTGCTGTTTCAAAGTGCATTCCAAATAAAAAATAAATAATAGCTTTGCAGCAAGTAACATAAAAAAATAGTAAGGTTGGAGAATATAAAGCGTAGAGCAGATTAATCCTCCTCTCCTGGAGATGTGAATAAGTTAGGTAGAGCGTACAAAGGGAAGATTAATTAGAGATATCCATTTGCTCGAGCACAAAGCTACAACTTTCAGATCCTATGTCACATCCTTTTATGTTTGCAACATATGATCTCAAAGTTGTAGCCTTGCATGACCACTACTGTAACAAAATAGAGAATATTTGCGGTAGATTTATCTCGATACATGATTGATGCCATTTTTATGAAGCAATAGAATAAATTGCTGAAGAAAAAGAGATCAGTCTTATGGATACTATACAACCACACAGAGAGAGGGAGAGCAAATGTCACATGCCATCATTGGAACCTATACAAAAGAATAACATTTCCGAATATCAGGTGTCAAGCTATACCTATTACAAACACAAACATTTTCCCAATGACATTGAGACATTTGCTAATAATCCCTCCGCTAAAAAAAGAGGCACATAACATTACGTGACAAATTAAACAAGCCTATTGTTGTATGGCAAAAAGGACAAAATGCCACACACACACATTTTAGCTGTACCTTGTTGAACCTCTGCCTTGCTAGGGGATGTAGTTGAGCCCATGGAGTTGGTAACATCTGTGTCTTTCAAATGTTGGAGCCAATTATACCATCTTAAAATGCACTCACTGCAAAGAACATAAGAACTTATATAATTATAAAAACGGTACATGTGCACCATCTATTGGCACAAGGATGACCATTAAAGAACAAAAGTAATGCTACCTCCGTCCAAAAATACTTGGCCATCTTTAAAACTTTGACCAACTATATATTTTCATTGGAAATTATTATAATATAAAAATGATATGAAAATGTTCTTTGTTAAAAGTATTTTCATAAAAGTATAAAATTTATGACTTCCATAATACTATACTAATCAAAATCATTGTCCAAAAGTTAAGAGATGGCTAAGTATTTTGGGATGGAGGTAGTAATAAATATTACCAATGAAAACAGTGAAAACATGACATCAACTTCATAAATGGAAAAACACTATTCCCTTTCTCTTCATCAACCAATGGATACAAACATAATGGACAATTTCCATCAGGGTAATTAATGCTAGAAAGCCTTTCCACTGCTTCCTACGAAAACATTCAAAGCCATGAATATCTTATAATCTGCTTGGTTAATCTAATATTGAAAAGACTCCTCATGATTATTAATGAGTAAAAGGTCATAATCCTAGTAAAAGTTCAAACATTACCCCATATCGGAGTAAAACGTTGACAAATTTCTACAATAGACGTATGTGTTATATATTCCCTAAATAGGAGCCCCCGTTACTTTTCAACCATCATTATAACTTAACACTCAAAGCCATTTTTTTTATTCTAACCGTCACACCTATCACTTCGTCTCTCTTCGCCTACACCTTCCTCTCTTTTCAATAAATAGGAGAACACCAACAATGGAAGTTAGGGAGTGACGACATGGATTTCAGCATCCTTCAGGCTCCATCTTATATAATTACGATCAAGGTTCATATTTAGGGAATAAAAACATGACAGTTCTATTTTGGAATTTCTGAACGTTTTTACTCATATTTCGGGAATTTTTCCTGTTTGTAACAAGTTTGGTACATATGATTTATGTGAAAGATATTAGAATATGCTTCAGAATATTTTAGGAATATACTCTAGGATATTATTATTGTATAGAAGCTTATAGGAATATTATTATATCTTTGTAATGTATATTTAGAGGGACTTAACCCTCTAAGCATTTAGAGATTTATTAGAACACGAGAGTTTTCAGCTCTTTTTCTTCATCACCGCCACCCCTAGAGGGTGCTCTTGCCACCCCCAGCCAAACCCCTGAGTTCCGAAGCATAACGTTGATGCGCATGAGTCTCACGTGCCGCCAGAAGCTCACGTCGGCCGCCACATGCAACGGCTTGTGAGCTCTTGACGTTGGCCGGAATTTCCGTTGGATACCACCCATCAACTCGCCTGAGTGTCCTCTATCTACCAGTGTAATTTGTTTCCAGGTCTTCTTGAATTTTGATATTCATTTCCTTTCCATTCGTCCACCATTGTACTTGGAAAACTCTTGTTGAACAGTCTGAACCTAGAGAAAGCCTTTCCCTTCAATTATGTTGGGAGTTTGTTTAAAAGATCTAATACTTTCACCAGTGGCTATGATATGGTAAGCGTACACATCTGCCATGATATTTTGAAATCCTTTTATTGGGAAACCACCCACTCTATTTTGGAGGTGCTCCAGTTATGCGTGAATTGTGACTGAAATATTTTTGTAAGTCATTGTTGTACGATTTCGCCACTAAAAAATATGATAAAAACATGTCTTGTACGGGTCAGATTGGTAGAGAACAAATATGCAATTACTGCAAGAAGCCCGGGCACCTGATCAAAGATTGTTGAAAGTTGATGTTCAAAAATCAAGGAAATAAGATCACTCATGGCGCTTCCGCTACAAATTCATCTTATGGATCAATTACTCTTTCTTCAAATGTGTATGTCAAATTTCTTTGCTACCAAGAATCTCTAAAGCATTCATTTGTCCCTATCTCGGTTGTCGCTAATTCAAGTACCCCAAACACATGTCTTGTCTCCTCATCCTCGAAATGGGTCATTGACTCAGGTGTCACAGATCGGAAATCCTAATCTTTTATCATCACTTCATTCATATTTACCTACTTCTAGTGTCACTTTAGCGGACGGGTCTACTTCACCCGTTCTCAGATTTTGTGCTCTTGTTCCAACTTCTACATTACCATTATCACATGTTCTGAGTCTTCCTAATCTTGCCTTTAATCTTCTTTCCGTCAGTAAAATCATGTGTACCCTTCATTTTTCTCTTACATTTTTTCCTGGATATTGTGTCTTTATATTTTGGATACATCAATCATAAAAGGTATCTCTTGTCTTGGGGTTAGAAATTCAACTAGGACACCCATCCCTCCCACTAATGAAGCAAATATATCCTAAATTTAATAAGATTTCATCTTTACAATGTGAGTCGCGTCAATTTGTAGAACATCATCGTACTAGTTTGTCCTCATCTTCTCGAGACTATAAACGAGCAAATGCTCCTTTTGATATTGTTCATTTTGATGTTTGAGGTGATTGTCCTGTTTTGTTTGGGATGACGTAGTTATATATTATGAAACGTTGAACTGAGTTGTTCACTGATTTTTCTTCCTTTTACGCTGAAATTGAAACTCAGTGCTCCTGTTCTTGTGTTAAGAGGAGATAATGCCCTGAAATATGAAATATATATCTGCTCCATTTACGTCATTTATGCTTCAACATAGCATTATTCATTAAACTTCAAGCATTGACACGCCTCCTCAAAATGAAGTTGCTAAACGAAAGAACCGGCATTTGTTTGAAACTGCAAGGGCTCTTTTATTTCAAATGAATGTGCCTAAAAAGTTTTGGGCTGATGCCCCGTTTTTCAATAGCACACTCAAGTGCAAAGTCAAAATATTGAATTATAGCACACTACGTGTGGGGTAATTTGGAATTTCGGATAAACCAACTATTGAGCAAAATAAGTTTCAAAATTTAAATGTCAATTAAAGTTAGGGAAATTATCATCAACCCCCCTTGAGGTTTAATGTATTATCACTCACACCACTGCACTAGCAAAAATGCATTCTTACCCCCTCCCTATCCTTAAATGATGATTAAGGGGGATGTATTGAATATGGATTGTGGTGGATTTTTTTTAATCCGTGGACTTTTAAAAAGTCAATGGACTTTTAAATCCAGACTTTTTTATGAATGAATTCTATGGACTTTTAAATCCATGGATAAGTTTATTGACTTTCAAAAAGTCCATAGACTTTTAAATGCGAACCACCACTGCTGGTCGTCGAAATTTGCACCTAGACCGCCGCTACTGATCTGCCCGTCCGCCTCCGTCACTTGAGTTCCCCGTTGTCGTCATCGGACTGATCCGCCACCAACAAAGTCGATTTGGTTATGCAAGGGAATTATGGATAATTACTTATATTAATTAAATAAATTAGGGGTGAATATGTAATATTTAGTCCTATTTAAGGAAAATCAAACATATGATCATACTTTAAGAAGAATGCTACTCCGTATGTTTTAGTCCTACCCTGAATAATTTCCTTTGTATAATACAGAGTATGATAAGAAACAAATAAACAAACAAATAAATAAATAATTAAATGAAACAAATGTAATTCATATAGCAACACAAAGTTCTACAAGAATAAATGAAGCATAAGAATCCAAATTTATTTTTATTAAAAAAACTCAAAGTTTCAAGAATGCTCAAGAATTTTGGTCATTTTATTAATGAGTAAGAACATTAATCGTTACACTCATTGCTACATGTGGTACAAGCACAATTGCAATCTTCTTAATAATTGTTTTATTTTCATTTCTATCTTGTAAAAATTTGTGTACTTATTTACGGTTATATATTTATTAATTTGAAATTATATTTTTATGTGTTAGCGATTTAATGATGAAAGAAAGTAATAGTTAAAATATTTATTTTCTTAATGATTAAGTGACGACGTACCAGAATTGCACTGATGTAATATTATCGATTCTTATACCAGTTCTTCTAGAAACTTCTAGAATCAAACCAGTATGGGATTAACGAATCGAGGGGGGGAGGAGTGACTTGGCTAAAGAAGAGGAGAGTTGGCGGGGTGGGGTGGGGGGACGGGATGAAAAACCGATATAAGAAAAGTCCACGGAAATCTTTAGTGAGGAGAAGAGACAATCGAAGAGAATTAATGTACTAAAAATGAGTTAAAAGTCCACGAGAATCCATGATTTTAGAAATCCATAAGAATGAAAGGAACTTTGAATATGCCTAGACTTTTATAGACTTTTAAAAATCTACATTGAATACACATAGACTTTTGTAGATTTTTAAAAGTCCACATTGAATACACCTAAACTTTTAAAATTCATGGACATTTAAAATTTTGTCACTAATTCCTAATACAATACACCCCCCTAAGTAACTTTTAATTTACATTTAGAGAAAAATTATTGAGATAGTTCGGTAACTTTTGTCCATATTAAAGACCCTTCCATTGGAAATCAAACCTAATGAAACAAAAAACGATCAAAATTGACCTAACTCTAGTTAGTTCGTTTTATAGCTTTGGATTTGAAAAATGACTTCATTGAAAAAAGCCGACCACAACATGCTAAAATTGATCAAAATTGTAACAAACCAACCTAAATTAACTACAAAGTATAGTGGGAAACAAATTTAAAATTTGTGGTCTGCTATTGTACGTGATTTAAATTTGCATGGGAAATACTTACTTTCATGATTTACTTAATGGGTGGACAAGGTCTCAATCCCGAGCCCGGCCAATTTTTGAATCGAGATCGGAACCGAAAATGAAATTCGAGGCCAAGACCGAGACCGGAGTGGTGAGAAAGGTCTCAGGCCTCACTTTTTAGAATCAGAACTAGCCGGTCCGGTCCCGGTCCCATTCATTTTTGTTTTCGTTTTTGCATTGAAATCATCGGGGAGCATTTTAAAACAGTTGAGGGTTCATTTAAAAGCTGAAAAGGAAGTGGGGTAGCAGATAGAGGATATAAAGCTATACAAAAGTAAATAAAAACTGGGACCGAACCTGGATCGTATGGGATACCGGAGCCGGAAATATAGGTCTCGAGCCTCCGTAATTTTTTAGCACCAACCAGTCTGGGTCTGGAACCAACCCGAACTGAAATATTATTTTGTCTAGGTCTGTGTCTACCACTAGTTCACATGTAAGCATGATCATATTTTGTCAAATATTATTTTATAAGTTATTATAATACGTATAATGATTTCATTTTCAGAGATTTCAATCGATTGATTTCATTTCTACGGTAAATTTTGAGAATAGTGAAACTGAGAACCAAAATATACTTGGTTAGTTTTGGTTAATTTCGGTTGGTTTGTTTTGATTTTGATCAATTTTAGCACGTTTTGGCCAACTATTTTCAATTCAGTCATTTTTCAAATCCAAAGGCATAATTCCAACCATCTAAAGTGAGACCAATTTTGATCAATTTTTGTTTTATTAGATTCAATTCCAGTGGAAGGGTCTTTATTAATTATCTTACCATAGATGTAATTGAATAAAACTACAACATTAAAAGCGGACACAATCAACTACAGCATTAAAAGCGGACACAATCAAAAGTTACAGAGTACTTTTGATTAAAGGATATGGAGGGGGGGGGGGGGGGGGGGGGGTAAAAGTACATTTTTAATAGTGTAGGGGTGTGAGCGATTATACATCAAACCTCAAGGGTGGTCAATGATAATTTCCCTTAAAGTTATGGTGTGATAATCACGTGTTATACATTAGGGCTAGAATTTTTAACCGAAGAACCGAAAACCAAACCGAAAAAACCCGAACCGAGCGGGAAAAAAACCCGAACCGAGCGGGAAAAAAACCCGAACCGAAACCGAACCGACTTGATTGGGACCCGAAAGCTGGGACCCGAATAAAAATCGGTTCGGAACCGGTTCTTTGAGATTGAAAATCGGATCAAACCGAACCGAACCGATTAATTCATTAAATAATAGTTTTAAATTATTTTATTTAATTTCTTTAACTAATGTATGTAATACATTTGGCATCCGTATTATCAACAATCCGGAGTAGCTCAGCGGTGACAGGAAACACGCCCCTTCCGTCTCACGCGTGTTCGAATCCCCCCAAGGACCGATTACCTTAAGTTTTTTTTTCTTTTCTTCCGCCCCAATTCTTCCAATTTGATTTTCTTCAGCGTACAACTCGTCCCACACCGGATGAAATAGAGGATTTACTCCTCATATGAGCCTATATAATCGCTCCTTCATAGCTGATAAGGACTAAGTTGCTAGTAAAGCTTGAGTGCGAGTATTAGCTACAATATATACAAATATTGAATGCCCATTCGGTTTTTTCACAAAAACCGAAAAACCGGACCGAAAATTCGGTTTCCGAAAAATTGGGTCCCAACAAAGATCGGTTCGGTTTCGGGTTATAGAATATAGGAAACCGAAAGATCGGTTCGGTTTGGATATTTCCTATTTTGGTTCGGTTTCCGAACCGAATCCAGCCCTATCATACATAATGCCTCAAATGTTGTATTTCAAAGGAGAACGGAACACATTGAGGTTGAATGTCATTTTATTAGAGAAAAGATATACAAGGGCTTGATTTTTAATGGAATGATGAAAACTGTAGAACAACTTGGAGATGTATTAACCGAGACACTTAATGGAATTCGAGTTGATTATTTATGTAACAAGTTGGGTATAATAAATATATACACGTTGTAACTTGAGGGGGGAGAATTATATTGTACAATATTTTAGAAATATCCCATATAATATTATAGGAGTATTTTATTATATGTTTAGGACTATTCCAACTTTATTATGTATGTTTAGGAATATAAACCCCGAATAAGCAGATACAAAATTATTTCATCTTATTATTTGTTAGTTTAAGCAGTATGAATATAAGAAATTCCTTGTTTTTATTTTGTTGTGAATATCATTCATTTCAAACACCGACAATTCTCCTATTGTTGATCATGGACTATGTTTTATTCTTATTTAGGGATTTAGCTCTAAAAGTTAAAAGCATCTAACTCATGAGTCATCCCCAAAGCAATGTTGGAATTATCATTTTAAGAAATAAAAAGTCCTGGCTATGTTGGGAAAACAAAACGTGTCCATGTACCATGCACAAAAACTCTGGATGAGGTGGGATTGTGGGAGGGGGTAGGGCTACACATCTACATCACTATTTCAGCATAGTAAGTACTAAACTACTAACTAATTAGTTACATCTCAGGAACAGCAACGTACCTCACATAGTGATACAAGCATTAGACATGAGGACAGTTCATGAGCCTTTTCTGTTATCCAACTTGTCAATTTATTTTGCCTTTGATCATCAAGGCCCTTGGAGTCAACTATACTTATACATGGCGGTTCATCAGGATACTGTTTTAAAAGAAGACATCTTAATAAGTTTAAACCTTCTCTTGCATCCTTTGCAAGTTCAAGACTATTATGCATGACCTTTGACCATTAAAAGATCAGTAGCCAGTACTAAACTGTCCTATAGATATTAAATAGACCAATTCATTCAGAAATAAAATGTGGTGAGGGTACGAGACTATGGTTTATGTCACACACGAGCAAAGATTGGAACTGGATTAAGTGTAGCTTCGTGAAGTTAATTAATATGCATAGAGATGCAATTCAGGAAAATGAGATGAGGGTATGATACAATGATGTATGGCATAAACAAACAAAGATAGGTACTAGATGAAAGCCTAGCTTTGTTAACTTAACTAATACTACGTATGTAGCAGTAGCATATTAATGCATTTAGGAGCTTTCCTCAAGATAATAGATCAGTTCATCAAATGAGATGAGAAATCAGTTTTGGCTCAAATGAGAAAAGTTAGTGACTAGATGATACCCGAGCTTTATTATACATATATCTTCAGTTTTCTTTTGATGTGTACTTAAGTGCAAAACATTACTATTCGTAGCGTACCTGAGGACCTGCCTGGATGCTTATAATTGCTTCTACAAACTGCAACAGAAGGAAAACGATTGAGAAATATTGTTTCTATGACAGGAGACGCACAGATGCATAGATACAAAGCATTGCACCACAAAAACAAGTTGTTCAAGATAGAAGCGTGAAGCAAGTAAACTCCGCTATGAGATCATTTTTGGTATCATGCCCATCCCAAGTCAGGATAAAGGAGAGTGTTGTGTTAGGCATGTGACGGCCAAAGTATCACTTATAGTCACATCACGTGACATGAATCAAAATATGAATATCGCTACAGTTAGGATCGTCGCCCGTAAGCGACACATCATCCCTCCGCCTAGGGGTAGTGTCAAATATCCAAGGGCGTGCTACACTTCTTTTGGGAATAAGGCTTGGATGGTGTTGTTGTTGTAGAATCGTAAAGCAAGAAAGGTCTTCACTATTAAACCATTGGTGAAAATCACTGCCTGCACTAAATTAATGCCACCTACGGACCAGGTTGTCTTAGATGCCAGAATTCTTCCTCATTTAAGCTCACATTTAAGCTCATCTTATTCCATATAGATCCACGTAGGCTTGATTAGTTCCGTACTATGCACTAGGATGGAGGCCCCAGTGCTTTTTACAACATTGATAACAATTGATGGTCATTCTGTTAAGGACTGTGGGCCTGTGTATCACTCATCCTTCAAAACATTGCTAATAATTAACGCATCATACAACATTAATAGCAATTGATGCATTATAGATAACAACTATTGAAATAATTAAATATTCTACAGTTCCATTATTTCCATGTGTATTGTTTTCATTTAAGTTGACACCCTTATGTGGGTCGCATGCATATTTCCTCCCTCCTTCGTACAACATCCCTATTTGTATTATATATAGCATGAAAATGCTCTAAGATCTGTACATCTGCATATATTGAACTTCTCTTAGGAGGATTATTCCTCTATATCCTTCTTTTATATTTTCACCGATATTTATCAATTTGATCAATTCCTTTCATTAAATATATCTTCAATTCTTCTCTTTATTTCATTATCATTTTTTTCCCATCATTTGTAATGAAGTCAAAAATTCACTATTTTTTGGTTTGAGAATATGATGGAATAAAGCAAAATGGCTCACTAAACTGTCTGCGCTTCTTTGTTATGAAGCAGCAGTCAGTCCATGCAATTTTGGACGCGATTTTCACTATGGATCATCCAGAAACAGTCTCTCTATGCTTTAGGACAGGGGTAAGACTGCGTACATCCGACCCCCCTTACCCCATCGTAGGTGGGAGCCTTTGCGGCACTGGGGTAAATGATGATGATGATTTCATTATCATTTTTATCATGGTATCAGAGCCGAAATCCTGGAAGTAAATTCTTTTTGTGCTCAAGAAAATATGACATATATTCGCCCTTGGATAATTGACTCCGGAGCTACTGAACATATAACATGTAGTGATAACATATCAATCACACGCCAGAGCCATCTGTCAGAATCCCCAATGGTGAATTAATTCCAGTTCATGTTTGTTGGTAGTTTAGATTTACCCAATGGGCTCCGACTTAAACGTGTTTTGTACATACTAAAATTTCAGTGTAATTTACTTTCTGCTAGTCGCCTAACAAGTGAACTAAATTGTACACTGACATTTTTCCCATACTTTTGTATTTTACAGGATTTACCCTCAAGAAAGTTGATTGCCGTGGGTAAATTTCATGATGATCTCTACTATCTGGAGTCCTCCAGAAGTGAAGGAGTGGCAATGTCAGTCTCTATTACCTGTGATTTATGGCATCAGCGTTTGGGACATGCATCTGATGGAAAGATACATCACATTAGTTACCTCAAGGGTTTTAAACGGGACAATATTTTTTGCGATCCTTGTGTACGAGCTAAGAACACCAGACTGCCTTTTCCAAGAAGTGCAATTAAGACAACTCGTTGTTTCGAATTGATACATTGTGACATTTGGGGAGGATATAGATGTGATTCAATCTTCGGAGCACGGTATTTTCTATCTATTGTTGATGATTTTACTAGAGGTGTTTGGGTTTATTTAATGAAAAATAAGTCTGAAGTTCCTCACCTAATGATTTATTTTTGCAATATGATAAATACCCAATTCGAGCGTCAAGTCAAGCGAATCCGCACCGACAATGGCGCCGAATTTAAAACCAATGTTTTATGTGATTATTATAATCGTACCGGAATTTTGCTAGAGACATCTTGTACTGATACACCACAACAAAATGGAGTAGTAGAAAAAAAACACAGACAAATATTGGAAGTTGCTAGGGCTCTCCGTTTTCAATCTGGGTTACCCATAGATTTTTGGGGAGAATGCATCTTGGCTGCCGTCTATATTATTAATAGACTACCATCACCTCTTCTTTCAAATAAAACTCCTTATGAAATGTTGTTTGGGAAGGTACCAAAATATGACCATTTATGAGTATTTGGATGTTTGGTATATGCACACAACAATAAACCAAAGGATAAATTTGGTGAAAGAGGGAGTCCTTGTATTTTTATTGGGTACCCGTACGGACAAGACATATCGTGTTTTTGATTTACAAAAGCAAACAACGTATAATTCTCGGGATGTCACATTTTTTGAAGAAAATTTTCCGTTCAAAATGATAAACAATCCCGATATTGATTTCAGGAGACAAGTTGATCAAGTGTACACCCAAATAATAAAACAAAGCCGCACAATAAATCATGACGAGCAGTCGGTCATCCCCACCTAATCAAAGGAGTAGTGGACCCGTAACAAGGATGGGCGGCCAAGAAAATTACAACGACAACAACACTCCAGATACAAATCATTGTGGTCTAATAAATATGGACAGTTGCACTCCTTTGGACAGAAGCTCTCATCAAGGACAATACCAACAGGCAGGTACAGGAGTCCCTGACCACTTTGACGTGAGTGACCAACCTTCTTTGGAAAGATGCCTTCTTCCAGGGAATGAGATAGAGGGACCCACTAGCCAAAATGATCCAAAAATGTGCAGCCAACTTTCTTTTGAAAAGTGTCTTCTTCCGGAAAATGAAAGAGAAGGGCCCACTAGTCAAAATAATCCAGAAGTTACACCTTCACAGCCATGCAACGCAGGGGAGCCACACTCTCCAATCAGGACTCGTAAATACGTTGAACCAGCAGGTGAATTACAAGAAGGCAAAAGAATTCGGAAATGTCCAAAGCACCTAGCAGATTATGAGACTGATTTGCCACCCTCACTTGATCATTCACGGACCACTGTCAATTCAGCTGACTCAACGGTATATCCTATTTTCCACTTTATTAATTATGATAAATTTAGTCCCACTCACAAGCCTATCAAGCGGCCATCACCTCACGTGATGAGCCGAAAAATTTTAAGTCTGCTGTACAGGATCCTTTATGGAGAGAGGCTATGCAAAAGGAAATCACTGCCTTGGAAGAAAATAATACTTGGACTCTAGTCCATTTGCCACATGGAAAAAGGGCCGTGGACTCCAAATGGATTTATAAAATTAAATATAAACCAAATGGAGATGTGGAACATTACAAAGCTAGATTGGTAGCTGGGGGCTTTACACAAATTGAGGGAGTTGACTTTCATGAGACATTTGCACCTGTTGCAAAACTAGTCACAATGCGATGCATGTTGGCGGTTGCGGCGAAGCGAAATTGGATTGTGCACCAACTTGACGTTAACAATGCTTTTCCCATGGAGATCTTTCCGAAGATGTTTATATGCGTATTCCACAAGGATTTGTCAAAAGTGGTGACACTCGTGTTTGCAAGTTACAAAAATCTCTATATGGACTCCGACAAGCTTCACGCAACTGGTATCATAAATTTACCCAAGCTCTATAAGACATCGGTTTTCGCCAGTCCCGAGCAGATCACTCATTATTTATTTTCCAAAATGGTCACATCAATACTTATGCCCTTATTTATGTTGATGATGTACTATTGACCGGGGATGATATTTCTCACATTTCCACTGTCAAGAATTATTTAGACACAAAATTCAGTATAAAAGACTTGGGGAAGCTAAAATACTTTCTGGGCATCGAAGTTGCACGATCTCCTGATGGGTTTGTCTTAAGCGAAAGAAAGTATACTCTTGACATCTTGGAGGAAAGTGGGATTCTAGCGGGCCGCCCCAGTACATTTCCCATGGAGCACAATTTAAAATTGCGACCAGACGATGATAGTCCACCAGTGGATGCCTCTTCTTATCACCGACTGATTGGGCGTTTACTGTACCTCACAGTAACCCCGTCCAAACATTGTTTATGCTGTTAGTCAGCTCAGCCAATTTCTCAACAGTCCTCGATAAACTCACCTCAATGCCGCCATACGTGTCCTACGTTAATTAAAGCATACACCAGGACAAGGGATTTTTTTATCATCTACTAATGACCTGACATTGGCGTCGTTTGTTTTTTGGCGGTTGGCAGCCAAACCGATAGAAAACGTAGCGTTTTCTTTGTAAAATAATTGGCGGTTTGGGCAATCCGCTGGTTTCCAAACGGAGCCATTGAAAGGTTATTGTGATGCGGATTGGGCAGAATGCCCTTTTACTCGTCGCTCCAGTACTGGTTATTTTATTACTCTTGGTGGTTCACTTGTATCATGGCGCACAAAGAAACAATCTGTTGTTTCTCGTTCTTCTGAAGCGGAATGTCGTGTCATGGCCGTCACTGTCAGTGAAATAGTATGGTTGCGATGGTTGCTTCAAAAGACGGTTAACCACAACCCCACACCCCTTTATTGTGACAACCAGGCAGCTCGTCACATTGCACTTAACCCAGTCTTTCATGAGCGCACCAAAGGATTGTTATTTTGTCAGAGAAAGGGTTGCTAGAAATGAAATTCAACCACTATTCATTTCTACTTCCAGTCAAGTGGTAGATATTTTTACTAAAGCACTTGGAACCGATCGTTTTCAATTTCTTCGTAACAAGCTGGGTGTTCGCAATCTTCACACTCCACCTTAAGGGGGAGTATTGAAATGATTAAATATTCCACAGTTCCATTATTTCCATGTGTATTGTTTTCATTTAAGTTGACACCCTTATGTGGGTCGCATGCATGTTTCCTCTCTCCTTCGTACCACATCCCTATTTGTATTATATATAGCATGAAAATGCTCTAAGATCTGTACATATGCATATATTGAACTTCTCTTAGGAGGATTATTCCTCTATATCCTCTTTTATATTTTCACCGATATTTTATCAATTTGATCAATTCCTTTCATTAGAAATATCTTCAATTCTTCTCTTCATTTCATTATCATTTTTATCAACAACTACTCCCTTCGTCCCCCTTACATTTTCTCATTTTACCTTTTTTGTCCGTCCTATTAAGTTTGTCTCATACCATATTTGGTAATATTGGAGTGATTACACCTCATTCTTACTTCATTCACACTTTACCAATGCAATACTAACCACACAATTCCATTTTTCTTAAAACCCGCACCACACTCTTGTCCCAATCTAAGGGGAACGGAGGTAGTATTAGAGACTGATTGCAGTTTACGAGTCATACTCCTTTTCCACATTGATTAAAATTGATCTATCATACATTCATACGACGTACATCTTTTAAGAAATAGTTTTGCTTGAATAAAGCAAGATTGTAGCAATAACGGCAAACACTAAAATCTTAAGAAAGAATAATCTAGGTTTCCATGGAATCGTAAAGCAGGAAAACTAAAAAATACAGCAAAGTTGGGCCAGAGTTACAGCAAAGAATAAAGTTCAATAACTTGACTATTTCCTCTCATAATTGGTGTCTTTTCATAGCATAAGTTATTGACTGATTTGATCTTTTTTTAATGGCACAAACCCTTCATTATATGAGCTCGTTTCACACTTTTGTGCTCGCTTTTCTATTCGCGTCTCACCCGTACTATATTCCACAATATCAACATGCTGATTTTCATTATTGACTGATGTGATCATCAAAATCTTATTACACAAGTAGCGCATTGGCCTATCATGTAGGGGCGGAAGAGAGTAACCTGTTGAGAGGTGACATCAGCGGTTCGAGGCTTTATACGAAGATGAAAAATTGGAGGATACTTGCAGAGAATTGTACAATCGTCTCCGTAGACGGCTTCTAATGCCTCCAGTTCCGCCAGAACCTCCTCCTGTTCCGCCATGTTTTCTTTGGAAGCGTATGCCACATGCGGGTTTCTACGAGATCAAAATACTCGGATGATTAGCTATTTATTCGATTTGTGCGGAGGATTAAGGGAGTGTTAGTAAGCGTGGATAACAATAACTCGGATAATAGCAAGTGTGGATACTTATTTGGAAGAAAAACTAAGAGATGTTAAAGAAGTGTTAGTAAGGGTTAGGAAGTATTAATAATAACCTTTCCAACACTTAGATTGTTCACTTTTTTAACACCCCGATTTGGAGTGTTTAGAGGTGTTGGACAATTATTACCCTTCTCATTTACCCTAAAAACATAAAATGCTTCGACATCTCACTTCGAATCTCTTTGCCGCAGGTCTGATGGTCCGCCTTTTTCATCTCTTCTCCTTACTCGTTTCTTCTGGCTAAAGGTAAAATTATTAACACTTCCATTATTAACACTTCATTCATTTGACTCTCCCAAACAAGGTAAAATTATGTCTAACACTTACACTTCTCTTCCCTTTTGGGCCCTTTTTAACACTTTCATTACTAACACTTCCAAACACTCCATCCAAACAGACCCTAAGGGTCTCGAGTGGATGATGGACAAGTGAGATTAAGAACAAGCAAGGAGAAGGCCCAATAACGAGCGTTTATTCACTGGAACGATTACAAAGCTGAAGGGCCGTTCGTACAGTGCTATGTTACGTGCTGATACAAATGCTATGGTGCTAGAGTGCTAAATTGCGAACCTTTTACAGTGAAATAAATGCTACTATTTATAATGCCAATGGGTGGTTGGATGTGTCGACGTGGCTGGCTGTGGACGCCATGATCCCAACCACCAAATCTTCTGCATTAAATGTGTTTCCTGCCAGGATCTTGGTTTCCCGCCATGGGGAGGGGACATTCGCCCCCAAGACTTTGGCTCCTGTCTCCTGCAGGGGTTTCTTTTGCCAAAGAATGGGGACGTTCGTCCCCAAGCACTTGAGTTACCCTTGACCTATTCCTTGAGCTATCCTTGGCCTCGTATCAAGGGGTGGGACCGTTCGTCCCTATATACCCTGCGGAAGTCTTGGGACTAGACACCCTCTCATCATGGGGTAGGTGTGTCCCCTGGGACTTGTCTCCCTGTTGGAGGTGGGCCTCCTCCCGAACCAGTGGCAGGTATCCCCTCCTTATTGGGCTTCCAATAGGACGTTCATAGGGAAATCTCAAGGGCCCTCTGAGGACGTTCGTCGGACAGCCCCCATTCATTGTTGGGCCGCTCGTAGGAGGCTATCATGGGTTAGTGGGCCAGCCTTTGTTGGGCCATTAACCCAACACAAGTCTCCCACTTCTGATGTTCCGAGCGTGCACGGGACATAAGGAAGTAGAAAAAACTCCCGACGTACCGCCCTACTGATGTCCCTGATGTGACAATTGCTCTAGGTGGCGGTTATGCAGGCCGGTTCAACTTCCGATGAAAAGGTGATTGCATGCCTGTCCGTCTCCGCGTGACACGTGTCCATGGGTACGCTCCTCGCCACGTGTCATGCATGGATTGGATAGAGGTAAGGCACCCCTCCTTTTAAATACTGGGCCTTCCGTGTAGATTAGGACTTTTACCTTCTCGCCTTGCTCGCTATTGCCTTCAAGCTCGGCAAGTATTCTCCAGCTCCTCGATCCGTTCTTCGAAGTTTGTCAGGTAATTAAACCCGCTCTTCTTCACTCCTTTGCTTCACCCTTTGATATGGCTTGTTCTATGGAAAGATCTTCCGAGTCGAGTTCCAGGTTCGGGCTCCAGTTCTCGTTCCTCGGGGGAGGTGAGTACTTTCGGCCACTCTGGTACCTCCGATGTGGTAGGACAGGTTATGGCGGATATGACAGGTTTTTGATCTCGGCATTCCTGCGGACGTCTTCCGCCACATCGTGTAGATCCATAATGTTTCCGGAATCGAGCAGTCCTTCTCGCATATGGCCTTGAAAGATATGCGGATCCTGCTTCTTCCGCCGTTCGTCTACAGCCTGCGGGGTGCGGATAATCTGTTTATGAGATGTCCGGGGATGATCATGGTTCATATGGACTCCATCAAGACCGGACTACGCTTCCCCCTTCACCCGTTCTACCTCGCCTTTTTCTGTCATTATAACGTTGTACCGACACAGTTCATGCCAAACTCGTACCGGTTTATCTCTGCATTCATCATCCGTTGAAAATTGAAGGGTTTGACTCTGGACCTGGACCTCTTCCACCATTTCTTCCAGGTTGCTCCTCAAAACGTTGATGGGTTTTTGAGCGTAGCCGCCCGTCCCCACCAGAAGTTATTCGACGAAGCCCCATCCTCTATCCATGATTGAAAGAACCACTTCTTCTTCCTTCGCTACGCAGATGAACGGCTACCCGTGAGGTGGAACGGCTTTCCCCCGAATGGTTCTGATTTTTTCCGGTTTTTGTTTCAGGTCCCCCCTACTCCGGAACAAATGGAAGACCTAGCTTTGATGGCTCGTCGTGAAGCCAGGGCAGCAAAGCAGCGAGCTCCGCTGGCGAAGGCCCAAGGGGCCAATGTATCCTCTGAGCCCAACTCCTCCGCCGCATCCCAGGTCGATCGTCGCGTCAGGGAGGCCGAGCAGCATCTTATCGCGGCCGTGACCGGTCAGAGCCAGGAGGTCCCGACTGCTGGGGCCGGTCCGGGTCTGGATGTGGAGCCGATGAACGTCGCTCCCCCCGCAGGTGGTCATAAGGACAAGGGGAAAAAACTGAAGAGGCAGCGCACCGAGCCCTCCGGTCCTAAAGCGGCTGAAGCTGCGCTGCCCATTACTGGCTGCCCGGTTCCTGACATCTGGAGGGATATGGCCCTTCAAGCTAGGGGTGGAACTGCCAGCCCGCTTCTCCAGCGAGACTGTTAAACATGCCTTGGTGTTGACTTTCGAGGTATGACCCTAACTCTTTGTGCTTTTGAGGATATGGCCCTCCCCCTTTTGCTTTTCAACCCCCATATGCCGTCCGGCTCTGCATTCTTCCATGTTTTCCCCTCTTGTAGACTAGACTGAATCTGTTGCAGGCAGAGGCTGCTCGAGAGCAGGATGCTGCCGAGACCAGAAGGAGGGCTGATGAGGCCCTGAGGGTAGAGCGGGAGGCCGTGAAGGCGAGGGAGGCGGCTGCCCTGGCTGAGAAGAACGAACTTCTGGCTGCTCTGGATCAGGCCCAAAAGGAGCTCCAGGCCATCCGGGATCAGGCTCGGGAAGAGAGGCAAGACCTTCTGGCCAAGGTGGCCCTGACCGAAAAGCACGTGATCTCCTTTGTCCCTGCTGCTGTTCCTACTCTGACTCCTGAAGGTGGGGCCCGCTCCCTGCGATCCTCTCACCCTGGTCCTTAACGTTAAGGAGTTCAAGAAAACGCCCCAGTTCTTGAAGGCTGGACATGATTACTGTCGGGGCCGTGGGGACGTTTTTGAGGATGAGCTGCAGGTCGTGGCCCGTAGGGAGCGTCTGACCCACGGAGTGCAGCTTTTGAAGCGGAAGACGCTTGCTTCTGAGTGAATGCTTGACCTCTTGGAAGATAGCTTTGCAAAAGGGTATTATTTAGGCGTGAAGGGCCTAAAGCAGATCCTTCCTCAGGTTGGTTGTCCACCTTTCAATGTGGATGACTATACGGAAGAGGAGGAGCTCTGGCGGGTTGTGGCCAAGGTTGATCGGGACCAAAGGCGCGCCGAAGCCGTGCAGAGGAGTGAGGTCCCTGAGCCCCCGACCCTAGAATTTAACCTCGAAGAGGAAGATGAGGGACCGGAGCCCTCCGTCCAGTGTTCCCCGCTCATGGCTTCTTGGAGTGATCCCTTCCCTGTTTCCATTTTTTTCCTGCCTGTATGTTCCGACCAGTAGAGCTGAAGAATAAAGTCTTCTTTTGTTTACCGTTAGTCCTCTGTTTTTGTTTAATCTCTAAATGTCCATCTATATGTATATACATGTAGGCATATACGAAGTATATGTATACTTAGGACATTTGTAGCCATTACTGATTTGATGAGGAACGGGTTGTCCCCCTTGAAGATTTTTCCATTTCTTTGTTTCGCCACCCGCTCGTCTAGATTGATGAAGGATGGGTTTGATGAGGAACGAGTTTGTCCTCTTTGAAGATCCTCCCTCCTCACTGATTTGATGAGGAACGGGTTTGTCCCCTTTGGGGATTCCCCATTCTTTTTTTCTTTTTTAAGGGGGGGGGGGGGGGGGTCTGCGTGGTGTGGCCTGGTGGGGGAACGTTCGTCGTCACGGAATAGTGATTCAGACACGTGTATTCGACCGACACGGGTATCGAAGCATTATGCCCACCATGGAATCTGTGCCCACCATGGAATCTTCCAAACAAGAGCTGCCACGTGTCCCTTCCGGGTTTGGGGGAGCAGGCGGTGAGGCCTATAAGTATCCCCTTTCCTCTGGTGGGGGTATTGTGCTTCCTTCCTTAGCTGTTATTCTGAACAGTTGCACTTTTTCTCAATGCGGTGCACTATTGCAAGTTTCTATTACACTTTTGTGATGGCTAAAAACTTATACAAATTTGCCTCGTTTTTTTACCAAATCTAGTGTATTGTTGATTTATTTAGAACCATTAGATCCTAAATTTAATGCACAACATTTATTCTCACTTTGAATGAGAAGGTTGAACAATTGGAGGGATGCCGAGGAACACCTTCCAATTTTATTAAAATAGAGTTGCAATTACAGAAGCGTACATTGAAAGTACAAGAAAAATGAAATACAGTAAACAAGAAAAATTACATTAGCAATTGATTTTTTTGAAGGAATTCCAATTGAAGCAGAGATTGATTTGTTAAATTTGTTGTGGAACTTGATTGTCTTCTGTAGATGAGGTTGAACAATTGTGGCTTCCGAATGATATAATTTATATCGCCTAAGAGCTACTTCCAATTTGTGCGGTGAATCAAACCTTTCGTCGATCAAGTAAAGAAAGTAATTCGTTTCGTTTTGAGGTTTTTTTTAGTTGCTTCTGGTGATCATGTAATGTGATGAATATCCCAATTCATAGTATTGTTGTACATCTTCCATAACCTCGTTTGGTTTGTTTTTCGAGATCATGGTTTTGCCTTTTCTTTTAACCTGCGTAAAGCCTTCAAGTTCTTCATTTACCGGAGGATTATCTCTATGACCTCAAGCAGGAGTTAAAAGGTGGGTGTCCTCAGAAGTAGTTTCATCACCGTACAGAAAAGGGGCGTGTGTAGTAACTGTCATCTCAGTCGGGGGATTAGAGCGTTGCTCACCATTTCCAGTTTGGACCTCACACGGATCATTGACCGAATAATAGATAGCTGGATGATGAACATATCCCTCGGTTACCACCACGTTAAGTAGGGGTGGATTCGGGCCGGGTCGGGCCCGGTCGGGCCGCCGGTTCGTATCACATGGGCCCGGGACTAGCCCAAGGGTTGGACGGGTCCGGTTCGGGCCGGGCCACCCGCCCGGGTCACGGGTCGGGCCACCCGCCGGGCCGGGCCGGGCCGGGTCGGTTAAATATTTTTTTTTAATTTATATTTTATACTTTATAGTTTTATACAAGTATTAAAAAACAAACTTCAAGTGCATTTATTTGAAATGAAATAGGAACTACATTTGAAAATTAAATAGGAACTATAATTGTTTTTAAAACATGAAATACTAATCAATCATTCAATATTTCAATCGGAATCTCCGACATAGGTAGAGCCACCCTCGGTTGTAGATTCATCCATAAAGTGTTGGGATGGGGTGATGTCAATTTCTTGAGCTCTACGGGCTGCTTTCAACCAATCGTGGTAACATATAAGCATCTCAAGAGATTCAGCGCTCAAGCTCGTTCTGGTTTGTGTTAGGACATTGCCGGCCGAACTAAATTCTTGTTCCACGGCAACCGTTGAAACCGGCATTGATAGCACTTGCTTAGCCATCTTTGCTAAAACCGGGAACATTCTTTCTTTTCCCTTCCACCAGTTTAGTACGTCAAAATCATCATCTTCTTCAAAATCAACATCATAAGTTAAATACAAAGAAATCTCATTAATTGTGCTTTGTTGTGTAGCGGGAGTTGATTTCGTTTTTTAATAAGATTGGCAAACGTAGATTTGAAAATTGATTTTCCTTTAGATGATGTTTGTGTCGGGGGAGGTGGCGCATTGCCATATTGTGAATAAAATTCATTGAATAATGCATAAAATATATCACTAACCTCGTTGTATTCTTTTTTCGGATCAATTGGGTTGTCCTCATACATTGGCAATGGACCAAAAAAAGCAGCATAATAATAATTCAAACATTCTTCTAAAGAACCAAATCTAAAACGAGGATCGAGAACAAATGCAATACCATAAATATGCGGAATATGTGAATAATATTTTAAAAACTTTTCCTTCATAAGACTAGCAAAATAACTCACATAATCAGCATTCTCAAAATTTGAAAAAGTACCGGCGAGATTAACAGCTTTACGAATAAATTGGTTTGAGGTAAGTTTATAAACATGACTAAAAGTTTCAGTTGCATTATTAAAATATATCAAAGCATTACAAATTTTTTCACAGGTGTCGATCTCAGCCGAGTTTATAATATAGTTATCATATTGTTTCATAAAAGCAGGAAAATGTTGTTTATATCTAAGAAGAACTCCAATTAACTTATAGGTACTATTCCAACGAATAGACAAATCTTTAGGAAAAGCCACATATCTCTCACCTCTTTCTATCAAATAATCATGCCATTTTTTCCTAAGTTGTCCATTACCCCAAATACGTCTAATCCCCCCTTGACTACCTCCAACGATGCTCCCAACGCTTTTAGACCATCTTGCACACATAAATTTAGAACATGACATGCACATCATTGATGAAAAAATCTACCCATCAAAGAAGTAGAACCACACAATTCACGCAATCTAGGAATAGCAGCAGTATTATTAGTAGCATTATCAAAACCAATAGCAAACACCTTATCAATTAAATTATACACAATTAAAATACGCTCAATCAAAATATAAATATGTTCAGCGGTGTGACGATCATTAAATTCACGGAAAGCAAGAACACGTTTATGCATATGCCAATCATTATCAATATAATGTACAGTCAAACCCAAATAATGTAAATTATGATAAGTATCCTCCCATATGTCAGAACATACAGTAACACGTCCATCAAAGTTTGCAAAATAATTTTGTAACCTTACCTTTTCCGCACCATAAAGCCTTGAAATTTCTTTCTTAACTGTTTTGCGACTATAACCTCTATATTGCGGATTTAAACAAGTTTGTGCATAATCACGAAAAGCAAGACTTTCAGAAAACAAATAAGGCAAATTTTCTTCAACAAGTAAGTTAGCCATACCTGTCAAATTTTGTGCATCATTGTATGAGAAATTACCAAAAGCTTGTTGGTTATTTGCAAACCTCGATATTTGCGTTTGCTTCCCCGTTCCGCCGCCTAATTTTGCATACTCCATCGGGTGTTTGGACTTAAGGTGTCTTGTGGCGGATCCGTATCCGCCGAAAATACCCAAGCTATAGTTTTTCTTGCACCAATTGCAAGTTGCGGTCCAATTCCCGGTGTTCGGGTCCTTCCACTTAGAAAAATTATTAGCCATTAGTTCAGATTTACTTTTTTTTGTACCTGTTTGGGATGAGGCTGGTTGGTCAGCGTCATGGCTGCCGCCACCCTCCTCCTCCTCGTCGTCGTGGCTCTCCGGAATTACTTCCTCCACATCGTCGTCCTCGAGCTCTTCTTCGTCAATGGTCCTCGGTTGGTCTTGAAAAAAGCGGGAATTATGTCGGTGCAATTCTTGTTCTAGTTGTTCGCCAGTCATCGCATCCCTATCCCTCCTTGCGTAACCCGTATCAAAATCATCTTGACTTTGAGATGAAGAGCCGATATGTGATTTACCTTTGCGGGATCTCTTCCTCGCAAGCTCTTTCGTTCGGTTGCGCTCGAGGTTACCCATATCAACCGAATATCTAGGACGATCCATCTAAAAAATGTAGCAATTAATAAAAAAATTGTAAAAAAGTAATTAACTATTTATCTAACTATTAATTCGAGTTATAACAAATTAACTAGTGAATTAACTAGTTTTGTGTACAACATATTTTTTAAACTAGAGTCAAATGTAACAATTAATAAAAAATTGTAAAAAACTAATTAACTATTTATTTAACTATTAATTCGAGTTATAGCAAATTAACTAGTGAATTAACTAGTTTTGTGTACAACATATTTTTTAAACTAGAGTCAAATGTAGCAATTAATAAAAAATTGTAAAAAACTAATTAACTATTTATCTAACTATTAATTCGAGTTATAGCAAATTAACTAGTGAATTAACTAGTTTTGTGTACAACATATTTTTTAAACTAGAGTCAAATGTAGCAATTAATAAAAAATTGTAAAAAACTAATTAACTATTTATCTAACTATTAATTCGAGTTATAGCAAATTAACTAGTGAATTAACTAGTTTTGTGTACAACATATTTTTTAAACTAGATTCAAATGTAGCAATTAATAAAAAATTGTAAAAAACTAATTAACTATTTATCTAACTATTAATTCGAGTTATAGCAAATTAACTAGTGAATTAACTAGTTTTGTGTACAACATATTTTTTAAACTAGAGTCAAATGTAGCAATTAATAAAAAATTGTAAAAAACTAATTAACTATTTATCTAACTATTAATTCGAGTTATAGCAAATTAACTAGTGAATTAACTAGTTTTGTGTACAACATATTTTTTAAACTAGAGTCAAATGTAGTAATTAAACAAGTGTAAACAAGTGTAAATTAATTAGATATAATTCCAACTATATTAATAGATATAATAAATATATAAGTAATATATAATTAGATAACAAATATAAGTAATATAATACTATTTATATCTATTTATAGTTTATATAATATAAGTAGATAAATAAGATAATTAATATAAACTATAAATAATAAATATAATATATTGGAGAATGGAGAATAAGAGAATTAGAGAGTAGAGAGTTAAGAATATGAAGAATTGGAGAAGAGATATGAAAAAATGTTTAAGATTAGGAGTATTTATAGGTTTTTTTTACCCCCCACCCCACCCCACCACCCCCCCACCACCCAACCCCCCCGGACCCCCCAGCACCCCACCCAACGGCTATATAGCCGTTTGGGTTGTCCCCAGCCCACCCATAACGGCTAGTAGTACCAATTTAACAATTTTTTTTAAAATCAGACCGTTGGACCCGGACCCGGGCCCGACCCGGCCGGGCCGGGTCACATTTTCCGGAACCGTGCCCGCCCCGCCCATTCCCACCTGTTCGGGTCCACACCCGGTCCCGGACCGCCCGACCGGGCCGGTCCCGGGCCCGCACAGTACCGGGCCGGGCCGGGTCACGGGCCGGGTGCCCGAACCGAATCCACCCCTAACGTTAAGGGTAGCCACCGGGGGTTCATATACAAAGTACTATTCGTATAAAAAATGAGAACTAACAAAAGCTACTTATAGCAAATTCTTAATCCCAAACCAATTGTGTGAATACACGGTAGTGATTACGAAATATGAATTCTAGAAAAAGTACATATTTTACGTAGCATGTAGGGGTTAAACATTCAAAATCCCGGCAACACTGAGAGGTCTACAATTCCAAGAGGTAGTTCTGCAATTTTCTTGAGCATGGCAAGCCTATTGTTTCTTATTCTTTCATCTTCCTGCAATAAACATATTTACAATAATGATATCATTTTAAGATCTTAATAAAATGCGTAAGACTTTAAAAACACCTGATCATAAGAGTCTTATGGCAAAGTTTAAAACATACGGAGTACATCTTTGTCGGATTATTTTTATTTTATTTTCTTTATTTAGCTGCATCAAGGATCAATACTTAGTGCACCCATTTCCAACTGTTATGGAGCTAAAGAGGGGCTAATGCCGAGTTGGAAATATGAGAGAAAAAATATAATCATACTTCTTGGAGGAAATGGGTGCTAGTCTGCTAGGCTAGATGCAGACTACGGGAGGACTAGAACCCACCCATAACATTATTGCTGTTTTCCTAATTTGACCAACCTGCACGGATCCTTTGTGTGACATCTTGATCAATATCTCTATTGTTGGGTAATATTTCCCAAATACTAAATTATTAATACAGCCACGTTTTTGCCTCATCGATATACTGTATCTCATCTAATTTAATGCATTACTAAATTATTAATCCTAGCACGTCGTGAATCTAGCATTCTAGCTCATGGCTTGACTTTTCACCTTAGCACTTATCTCTCTTATAACCCATTGACCAACAAAGACGATGGCATCTACAGTAACATACACTATTGTATATTATCTTGGACACACACATCATCTTGGACAGTCCTTGGTTCATGACCACAAAGATGTGCAATTTTCCGTTGTCACGGAGTTTGTATGGACATGTCAAAAGTTGGGATAAAAAACATACCACCATTACAAACACGTGATTAAAGAAATTCTCTATCGGCTCTATAAGTGCTAAGGAGGCTTCAAAAAAATCATCCACTTCCATTTCTGCACAAAGAACAACATAAACAACTAATGTCAATCTCTAGCATGTATTGTAAAAGTAACAAAGATGCTACTAACTTATGTTATATGATCAGAGAGTACCCATTGAGTACTCGCTACTTGGCATGGACCATGCCAAGTTGTCTACTTCCTCCATTTGATTCAAATGAGTTACTCATCGATTTTAGAGACTCGGTGACTTTGGTGACTCCATTTGATCAATCAACCGTACTTAAATGTGATTGATTGAAAAATCATAATTGGGCCACTATGAGATTAAAAACAAACTCACGACTTCAAATAAAACACAATAAAAAACTCTCAAGGTTATAATAGTTCATAAAACTATAAATTCTCATTCAAGATGTGTTTGTGGACCATGACACAAGATGAAGATAATACTGATATTGAAGATCAGAAGATGATCATTGTAAGATATAAGAGTTTAATATTGAGTACACAAGATGCGTTTGAGGACAAGACGAAAGAAGATAATACCTATATTGATGATCAGAAGATGATCAATGTAAGATATAAGAGTTTAATATTGACTAGACAAGATGTGTGTGAGGACATGACGAAGGATGAAGATAATACTGATATTGAAGATCAGAAGATGATCAAGGTAAGATATTGAGTAGATGATATGATCTACTTCATTTACTTTATATGCAAGTTATTGTTGATTAGTATTTTCCACTTTATTTATATGCAAGACTTATAAGACCAGTTTATTAGAATATTATAGCATATAGTATAAACAAATTACTTACACATGGCTGAGTAATCGCCGAATGCATCCAAGTAATATGCCATAATCGCTACTCGGCCTTTGATCAAGTAGCTCCAAGTAGTAATGATTTAACCACTTAGCTACTAACTAACAAGCCATTTTGGTACTAAAGTCAAGTGTTGACAAAGAGAAAGCTCATGCCAATGTATAACTCTAATAGGTTCTAAATCCTTCTGTTTTCATTATTTTGTGCGTTTCACAAAAAAATTGTTAAGAATAATTTTTGCTTTCTAAACATGTTTTTCTTCCTTACCAAACAAAAAGAAAGATGACTATTTCTGGTTGGATGGAATATCTATTTTCTGCGTCTTAGGATGTTTTTACTTGGACTCTTTTCAGTCCCAGACCAGACCAAATCATAACAGAATAGACTTGGATAGTTATAAAACGCACAGAGACCAGATATTACCAGACCAGACCGGACCGGGCCGGACCAATTCAAACTAGACCAGACCAGAAAATTTCTGACCAGGTAAAAACATCCTTACTCATGCAATGAGACAAGGCGAAAGACATTTTGAATTTATCTTACATAATATTTAATCTAATACTGTAACTACGGAAGCGAGTATATCTTTAATAGAGTACAATATTGAACAGAGTATATCTTGCATAGTACCAGCATGAGCTTTGCTTCTTAATGATAAAAAAGCGTTCCAGAGAAGAAGCTCTTCATTTGCTACAAAAGCTGTATCGTCCACCTATTATAATAGCATTTGCACCAACATGAGATTGGATGCATAGTATAATTCTAGCGGATGTACTACAATATTCAAGGACGCATAATGATGAAAACAGAAAATAAAAATCAACGGAATAAACCGTTGCCTAGAGCCAAAAGGCTAAACTCCAATTTTATTCATAGATGATCCAGAATGATTCATACAAAGGGTTTAAATAACCTTCTAATCACACACTCAATAGAAATCCTAATCGAGCCCAAATTAAATAAACCCTAATTAGGCCCAAATTAACCCTACTAAATACTTTACTAATAATAGGCCCAAACTAGAAAACATAGCATAAACTTTATAATAATAAATAAAACTATAATCCCAGCCCACAACCAGCCCACGAAGATGGGCCCAAGCCCGTTCCTGCCGCTGCACTCCGTGCTCTATCAATCCATTCTCCTTCAAACAACCTTGTCCTCAAGGTTAAAATCTCATAGCTCGAGGGGGGCTCAAAATTCCAACCATAGAATAGAATGGAAAATACGTTTCATCTCCTTCCGGACCCCCTGGACTTTCTGAACCTTTTCATGGCCGATTATTTCACAATAATCATGTTGTTGGAGGTCCAACTCCTCATCCTCCTCAACTATCATTACCCGTAACTGCTTCAACTGGTAGTCATGCCCTGGTGTAAAGAGTTTCTTACATCTAAAGCATAACCCTTTTGCCTGCAACTCTTCTAACACACCTTCGGCGGAAGTCGAGTGAACCTAGAGCGTGCAGTAGGCGGCCCGGAAAGCCCTGAATTTGTCCACGGGGGCTGCCCACTATCTTTCGGAAAGCTGCCACTCGATCCATGTATGTTGCCACCACTCATGGCTGTATTGTTGCCCCCACTTGGACGCAAAAAACTGCCTGAACGCACTTCCGTCTTGTAGGGTTTGCTTTCCCAGTCTCCATCTTGAAAGGACAGATTGTCCTCAATATCTCTGGCCTATTCCTTTGGTATCTCCAGGTTGTTTGACCGCAGCAACCGCAAGGATCCACGAATCGGTACCTTCAGTCCATTCATGAAATACCCCAAGTATTGATCATCGGACAGTCCGGGAACCTGACTGGCCAATTGAACAAAAAGGTTATTGCATTCCTATATGGTTCCCAACTGTTTGACCCCAGACTACCGTTCGAATCGGCTTCCTTTGAACCGTGAATAAAATCGGGCCACCAGTGCTTGCGTGAATTCCTCCCAGGTCATGTTTGGTTTCCTTGTCTTCAACCAGGTCAACCAGTACAGGGCAGTCACTTCGATGACTACCGTAGATGCTGCCACTTTCCTTTCAGGTAGGGTTCGATTAATTTCGAACAGTTGCTCAGCCTAGCCACCCACCCGATCGGGTCTTCTCCGTCGAACACTGGCAGCAAGGTCAGTGTAGAGCTGCGCGAACTGCCATTGCTACTTTGCGCAGATGTGGCATCGCTGGTCGCTGCGGGTCTTTCTCCGGAAGAACCATGGCCTTCACGAGTGCAACGAGAGAGGTCGCGATCTCTACCAGTTTGGCCCCATGCTCCTCTAACTTATGTCCTTGCGAGTCGGGCTTCTGATTGCTTAGGGTTTGCTCGGCCTCCATCTCGTCCAAGCGATCAAATTTGGATCTCATCATTTTGGCGGGAAGGGATCCGGCAGGTCGGATCAATTGATGAAAACAAAAAATAACAATCAACGGAAAAAAACGTTGCCCAAAATAATCAACAATAGAAAGCATTGCCCAGAGCCAAAAGGCTAAACTCCAATTTTATTCATAGATGATCCAGAATGAATCATACAAGGGATTTAAATAACCTCATGATAGACTCAATAGAAACCCTAATCGAGCCCAAATTAAATAAACCGTAATTAGGCCCAAATCAACTCTACTAAATACTCTACTAATAATAAGCCCAAACTAGAAAACATAACATAAACTCTATAATAATAAATAAAACTATAATCCCAGCCCACGAAGATGGGCCCAAGCCTGTTCCCGCCCCTCCACTTTGTGCTCCCTATCAATCCATTCTCCTTCAAATAACATTGTCCTCAAGGTCGAAATCTCATAGCTTGAGGGCTCAAAATTCCAGGCATAGAATAGAATGGAAAATACCTTCATCTCCTTCTGGACCCCCTGGACTTTTTGAACCTTTTCCTGGCCTGTTATTTCACAATAATCATGCTGTTAAAGGTCCAACTCCTCATCCTCCTCAGCTATCATTATCCGTAACTGCTTCAACTGGCAGTCATGCCCTGGTGTAAAAGGTTTCTTACATCTAAAGCATAACCCTTTTGTTTGCAACTCTTCTAACACACCTTCAGCGGAAGTCGAGTACTCGAGTGAACCTAGAGCGTGCAGTAGGCTGCCCGGGAAGCCCTGAATTTTTCCCCGGGGGCTGCCCACTATCTTTCGGAAAGAAGCCACTCGATCCATGTATGTTGCCACCACTCATGGCTGTATTATTGCCCCCACTTGGACGCAAAAAACTGCCTGAACGCACATTCGTCTTGTACGGTTGGCTTTCCTAGTCTCCATCTTGAAAGGAGAGATTGTCCTCAATATCTCTGGCCTATTCCGTTGGTATCTCCAGGTTGTTTGGCCGCAACAACCGCAAGGTTCCACGAATCGGTACCTTCAATCCATTCATGAAATACCCCAAGTATTGATCATCGGACAGTCCGGGAACCTGACTGGCCAATTGAACAAAAAGGTTATTATATTCCTATACGGTTCCCAACTGTTTGACAACAAACAGCCGTTCAAATCGGCTTCCTTTGAACTGTGAATCAAATCGGGGCACCAGTGCTTGCGTGAAATCCTCCCAGGTCCCAGGTCATGCTCGGTTTCCATGCCTTCAACCAGGTCAACCAGTACAGGGCAGTCACTTTCATGGCTACCGTAGCTGCTGCCACTTTCCTTTCAAGTAGGGTTTGATTAATTTTGAACTGTTGCTCAGCCCTAGCCACCCACTTGATCGGGTCTTCTCCGTCGAACGCTGGCAGCAAGGTCAGTGTAAAGTTGCGCGAACTGCCGTCGCTACTGTGCGCATATGCGGCATCGCTGGTCGCTGCGGGCTCCTTCTCCGGCGGGACCATGGCCTTCATGAGTGCAGCGTGAGAGGCCGCGATCTCTGCCAGTTGGGCGCCATCCTGCTCTAATTTCTGCCCTTGCACGCCGAGCTTCTGATTGATTAGGGTTTGCTCGGTCTCCATCTTGTCCAAGCGATCAATTTGGGATCTCGTCATTCTAGCGGGACGGGATCCAGCAGGTCGGACCAATTGATGAAAACAGAAACTAACAATCAAAGGAATAAAATGTTGCCCAAAATAAGCAACAATAGAAACCATAGCCCAGAGCCAAAAAGCTTGTAGAAATAACTTGAGAAAGTAAAATGTATTTTATTTCTCTTATTCTGTGTAATACAATGAGATGAATACAGAATATATATAGCTAGAGAAAAGTGGAAGAAGGAAGGAATCCTCCTAATTAAGATTCCCTAATAAAGACAAGATAATTGGGGATATTTAGAGATTCTGAGATCTCTAAGATATCTCCTCATAAATGCTAAATCGGATGAGTAATTATCTGTAATAATCTACACTCCCCCTCAAGCTGGGTGATGGATATCATCCATGCACAGCTTGCTAGATAAGTCTTCAAACTGAATTCTGGGAAGTATATCCGCTATTTGCTGTCTGGTTGGAACATAGTTCAGCTGGATATCCTTTGCTGCAATCTTCTCTGATAAGAACCTTCTGTCTATATCAATGTGTTTGGTCCTGTCATGATAAACAGGATTCTTAGCAATACTGATAGTAGACTGGTTGTCACATGAGATCTGGATGGAGCTTTCAAATGGGAGTTTGAGCTCATTCATCAATCTTCTTAACCACAATCCTTCACAGATTCCTTGTGTTAAAGCTCTGAGCTCAGATTCCGCACTACTTCTAGAAACCACTGATTGTTTCTTGCTCCTCCAGGTGACTAAATTACCCCATACATAGGTACAGTAACCAGTAGTTGACCTTCTGTCTAAGAGGCTTCCAGCCCAGTCAGCATCTGTAAACACTTCAATCTTCCTTGTCCCTTGTTTCTGAAACAACAATCCTTTTCAAGGAGTCATTTTTAGGTACCTCAGAATTCTATACACTGCAGTTAGGTGTTCCTCGGTTGGGTCATTCATGAATTGACTTACCACACTTACTGAGAAAGCAATGTTTGGCCGTGTGTGAGATAGGTAGATTAGCTTCCCTACCAGCCTTTGATATCTACCCTTATCAACTGGTGGACTTTCAGTCTCACTGCCTAACTTCTTTGATATATCTATAGGAGTGTCCATAGGCTTGCACCCAAGCATTCCAGTTTCACTTAGCAAGTCTAGAACATATTTCCTTTGTGAAATGAAAATGCCCTTCTTAGATCTTGCCACTTCCATTCCCAGGAAGTACTTCAACTCGCCTAGCTCCTTGATCTCAAATTCTCTTGCTAGATGAGCCTTCAATCTGTCCAATTCAGCCTTATAATCCCCAGTCATAATAATATCATCAACATATACTATAAGAATAGCCAATTTTCCAGAGTCTGCTCTCTTTACAAACAGTGTATGGTCTTCCTGACATTGCATGAACCCTTGTTTAATAACTGATCTTGTGAACCTATCAAACCATGCTCTAGGAGACTGCTTTAGTCCATACAAGGACTTTTTCAGTCTGCAAACCTGACCATATTTCCCCAAGTCTTCTAATCCAGGTGGTACATCCATGAATACTTCCTCTTCTAGGTCTCCATTAAGAAAGACATTCTTAACATCTAGTTGATGTAATGGCCAGTCTAGGTTCACTGCGAGTGATAACAGCACTCTAATGGTGTTCAACTTTGCCACTGGTGCAAATGTCTTTGAATAATCAATTCCATAAGCTTGGGTGAACCCCTTAGCAACCAGCCTTGCCTTCAGCCTTTCAATCTTTCCATCAGCCTGATATTTAACTGTAAATACCCACTTGCAGCCAACAGTTCTCTTCCCTGCTGGCAAATCTGTAAGCACCCAAGTTCCATTCTTCTTCAATGCTGCTAATTCATCATGGACAGCCTTCCTCCACCCTGGATGTTCAAGGGCTTCCTTGATGTTGTTAGGAACCTGAATACTATCAATCTTTGAAATAAAAGTTTGATAGTTTGCTGATAGTTTCTTATAACAAACAAAATTATAGATAGGATGCTTGGTACACTCCCTTACTCCCTTTCTGATAGCAATAGGCAAGTCTGGTTCCTCATCATCTCCTTCTATAGCCTCAACCTATTTGTCATCAGGACTCAAATTTGAGTCAGATGATTGTGTGGTGTTAATTGGAGTGATGTGCTCTTCTTCTGGAACTCTGGTTCTAGGTCTCCGCTTATAGGTATTCTTGTAGAATGGGGAATTTTGATTTAGTGTAGGATTTTGGGGTAATGATTGGGGTGATAAAGTTGGCGGCTGAAATGGTGTGGTTGGTGGAGAGACTGTATTGTCTGGAGGGTTTGATTCAGGTCTGTCTGGGAGTATGGATTCAGTGTAGTTAGATTCAGATTCTTGGAGGTCTGGAATAGTGTCTGAAATAGGATTCAAAGACTGGATTTCATTGTGGTTCTCCCCCTGAAATTCAGTTTTGGAATAGAAAGGCTGATTTTCAAAAAAGGTTACATCCATTGTGATGTAGACCTTTTTGTTGGCAGGAGAATAACATTTATATCCTTTCTGGTTGGCAGCATATCCTATGAATATACAAGGTAAGGATTTAGGATCCAGTTTTGACCTAACTGGAGAATGGTTGTGAACAAATGCTTTGCAACCAAAGACCTTTGGTGGAAGATTGGTAATAGGGATGTGAGGATGTAGATAAGATAGGATTTGGTATGGTGTTTTAAAATTGTGAGTTTTGGAGGGCATCCTATTTATCAGGTAAGCTGCAGTTAGGACAGCCTCTCCCCAGTAGTGTTTAAGAGTGTGAGTGGTGAACATAAGAGCTCTAGCAACTTCCAGTAAGTGTCTATTCTTCCTTTCTGCCACCCCATTCTGTTGTGGGGTGTCAACACAGGAGCTAATGTGTATAATCCCCTTTTTTGACAGAAACTCTCCTAAATTGGATGAGAAATATTCTTTGGCATTATCAGTTTTAAAAACCTGAATCTTGGTTTGAAACTGAGTTTTGATCATAGAATAGAATTTTTGAAAGATAATATTGACTTCTGACTTATCTTTCATGAGGAAGACCCAGGATAGACGTGTATGATCATCAACAAACAGAACAAACCACCTTGAGCCAGTGAGATTTTTGACCTTAGATGGGCCCCAAACATCACTGTGGATGAGAGAAAAAGGTTTAGATGGTTTGTAAGGTAGACTGGGATAGTGACTTTTAGTATGTTTAGCAAGTTGACAAAATTCACAATCAAAGGCAGAACTTTTATTTATGAATAATGAAGGAAATATTTTTTCTAAGTACAAGACATTAGGATGACCAAGACGATAATGCCATAACTGAATTTGAGTATCAAATTGACTCCTACTAAGACTCCCTAAGAACTTATGGTTGAATTGACTCTCACTGGAAGTTGTCTTGTTGGTGGAGTTGGGTGAATGTGGTGAATGTTCCAGAAGATAGAGTCCACCACTTTGCTTAGCACTGCCAATCATCCTCCCCGAATCCAAATCCTGAAATTCACACAATTGTGAAGAGAATTTAGTTAGGCAATGTGTATCACTATTCAGTTTACTGACTGATAAGAGGTTAAACTTTAAATCTGGAACATATAACACATTGTTAAGCACTATCTTATCAGAAATTTTGACTCTTCCGGTCCCTTTTATTGCTGAAGTAGTTCCATCAGCAATCTTCACAGTTACCTTATTCTACATAGGGATCAATTCAGCAAAAAACTTACTTTCTCCAGTCATGTGATCTGATGCCCCTGAATCAACAATCCAATAGGGCTGATTGTGTGCAACTAGGGTTGTTAGGGCATTACCTGTCTGAGCAGTAAGGCTAGTTGATGGTGCAGGCCCCTTGCTCTGACTTATTAGATGTTGAAGAACCTCAATCTGCTCATTGGTAAATGCAGCAAGATTAGAAGTGCCCATATCTTCTTTATCTCCAGTAGCTACATAGGCTCCTTTCCCTTTGCTTGGTTTGAAATCTTTAGGTTTACCATGCAAATTCCAGCATGTTTCTTTGGTATGACCTGGTTTCTTACAGTGATCACACCATGGCCTCCCTTTTTTCTTGTTTTCATTCTGTCTGGAAGAGGTATATAAGGCTGACCCTTCAATATTTTGTTGTTGGCCTTGAGATTTCAGACCCATCATTACCTTCCTTTTGCTTTCTTCTCTTCTGACTTCTGAGAAGGCTTCTCTAAGGGTGAGTTTCTTTCCCATTATTCTGCCCCTAACCTCATCTAGACTCTTGTCTAATCCTGACAGGAATTTGAAGACTCTCTTCCTTTCACAGATCTCCTGATAAAACTTCTTATCCTTAGAACATGACCAATTGTATGTCTCAAACACATCAAGATGTTGCCAGAGTCTCACAAGGTTGTTGAAGTATTGAGTTACACTCAATTCTCCCTGCTGAAGGTTATGTAGCATTGATTCAACCTCAAATAATTCAGAAGTGTTATCTGAAGTTGAGTATGTTTCTTTCACAGCCTCCCAGATCTCTTGAGCTGTTTTGTATAGTAGGAAATTTTCTCCTATACTGGTTGTCATGGAATTGATGAGCCATGACATCACAGTATAATTCTCCTTTTTCCACTTCTTGTAGCCTGGATCTCCTTGATCTGGAGCAGGTGCATCACCTGTCAAACAGTCCTCCTTGTCTTTTCCACACACATACATCATAACGGACTGAGACCATTGTAGATAATTACTACCATTCAGTTTATGGCAAGTAATAATCGAATCTGACTGATTAGGAGTGGTGACTGTGCTTCCATTGATATTCTGGTTGCTGCCATCTCCAGTTGGGACAACCTCTGAATGTTCAGAGGTGACTGGGATAGATCCATCTCTCTCGGTGGTCATCCCATAGGATCCGAACTTAATCATTTTAGAGAATAACCACGCTCTGATACCATGTAGAAATAACTTGAGAAAGTAAAATGTATTTTATTTCTCTTATTCTGTGTAATACAATGAGATGAATACAGAATATATATAGCTAGAGAAAAGTGGAAGAAGGAAGGAATCCTCCTAATTAAGATCCCCTAATAAAGACAAGATAATTGGGGATATTTAGAGATTCTGAGATCTCTAAGATATCTCCTCATAAATGCTAAATCGGATGAGTAATTATCTGTAATAATCTACAAAGCTAAACTCCAATTTTATTCATAGATGATCCAGAATGAATCAAACAAGGGATTTAAATAACCTTCTAATGACAGACTCAATAGAAACCCTAATCGAGCCCAAATTAAATAAACCCTAATTAGGCCCAAATTAACTCTACTAAATACTCTACTAGTAATAAGCCCAAACTAGAAAACATAACATAAACTTTATAATAATAAATAAAATTATAATCCCAGCCCACAACCAGCCCACGGAGGGGCACAAGCCTGTTCCCGCCCCCTGCTGTCCCTGCTCTCTATCACATAATGAAACAGAAGTCCATAGCACACTTTTGTGCAAATATTTAGATTGTGATCAGCCACAGATTCATGGATAGTTGCAACGTGATGGGCTTGACTGCAAGAACTGCTTGTCCTTGCAGTGTAGGGGCCCTTCTCACCCTTGCCAAATACACACATCAGTAAACTCCAAATTTCTTGATATTACTAATTATTACCAATGAGCAGAAAAACTCTATTTATACTATAGGAGTTATGATGAGCAGGCAATAGGGTCCTAACTATTATGGAGTACAACATTTACCAATTATGAATATATTAACTACAATCATACTACTAATAGTAATAACAGGAAACTAATACCAGTATTACTAGATAGTAGATACTAATCATTTTTTATACATAGTTGATACCAATCATACTATCATACTAAATACTAATATTACTAATTAGTAATTACTATGACTAATAGAAAGCTCTAAAATCCCTAGCCCTAGTACAAATAGCCTAGGCACGCCCACATCATGTGAGCACACATCTCTATTATGATAGAAATTATGGGGAGTGTGATCTCATTTTTATTTAAAAAGTTCTATGCAAACTCATGAACAGAGAACGCATCCCTATTCAAGGAAAAGGTAAAAAGGAGCAGGTGGGGGTCAAATTGGGTTTCTTTAGGAGGAGGGTGGGGCACTCATTGTCTTAACTAAAACCTTTGATGGAGAAATTCACACAATGCCAACAAATTTTTAGCATTGAATGGCTACAAAAGAAAATCCAGTGTTGCCAAAATATGCCATAATAGTTAACACAGTTAATGAAAATGCAATAGCAAAAGCATATTTCTCATACATGTAAGAGATAAGTAATACAAAAATACCTCCACATCATCATTTACATCCTTTCCACGCACAATTCTTGTTGGACGAGAATATGCTTCCACAACCTTTTGCAGGACCCCATTTGACAAGTATTGCATCTGGGGTTATTTCAAACAAGAATGACAGAAATAAGTATTATACTGTTATGATAAAGGAAATGGAAGTCACTAAATGTGTGGACATTTGCACCCCGTTATGGCATTATTTACTAAACACGCCTCTTTTTTTTTCACAAAGTCGTTCCACTAGCACTCACCTAACACAATGGAGAGCATTCAGCAAACATTCACTGAACGGAACGAAGAAGTGTTCTATTGGTGCTGGTTGAACAACATGGACTGATTAAAATTGCCAAACACAATGACGAGTGTTCGGCGAGTTTGATTAGTGTTCTTGAACACTATTCATTCTGAGTTAATTTCAGGTAGTGCTGACTGAATTTCGATACTTATAGAAAGGTAAGGGCATTTTTCATCATTTGCAATGGAGCCAAAGATTCATTATTTTTTGGCTTGAGATTATGATGGAATAAAGCAAATGGCTCACTAAACTGTCTGCGCTTCTTTGTTATGGAGCAGCAGTCAGTCCATGCAATTTTGGAGCGATTTTCACTATGGGTCATCCGGAAACAGTCTCTCTGTGCTTTAGTACAGGGGTAAGACTGCGTACATCTGACCCCCCTTACCCCACCGTAGGTGGGAGCCTTTGCGGCACTGAGGTAAATGAAAATGATGAAATGATAGAAAGGTAAGGGTAGTGTTTAGCTGCACCAGTATCCTACATCATTTTCCTTGAAAGACAGAATGCTATCCGTGCTTTTATGAAAATATATACAACTTACTTTTTGTGCTGATTTGGTTGCCAAATGAGGCAAGTTTGCACGCTCCACAAGAACAGATCGAACTATTTCAGGGACAATGCCTTTATCCATCTGCAATTAAGTGAAAAATGTCAACAAAAAAAACCAAGACACATAAACATTTTGTTAAACCAACAACACCGGTCATATAAGGATACAAACTCAGATATAAATCCTTGGGCTATTGCTACTTTAGGATGAAACCATACTTGTCACCGCGGTAAGTCGAGTCGCGACGCCAGCCGACCGCCATATCACCTAGGAGACAATTAGGCGACTAGTCGCACATTGTAATGATTGTCTAATACTTCCTCCCTTCTTTTTTAGTTCCAACATTCCCATTTTCACGCTTGCCAACGCATAATTTTGACCGTCATTATATTTAATTCTTTATTAAAAAACAGATTATGAAAATTTGTTATGACACAAATTGAACAACACTTTTAAAAAAATGAAAGATTAATAAATCAAATTTAGTCAAAGTAGAGCATGTGAATAGTGTAAAATTTTCCATGTTGCAACTAAAAAGAAACGAGGATAGTACTAAGTGTATTATATATAATTATATTAATAATTATGTAATATAATTATATATAATATATTACTAATTAAATTGTATATTACTTAAAATAGACCCCCACAATTAATAATTAAAATTAAGGTTTATTAATGGGAATTAAGAGTAAAAAATGTCTCAAATAAGCATTGTAAAACTCATATATTTGTATTTGTAAGTATATATAAAATAGTTTTTATTAATAGTTTAATACTCTTTTCTTAGTTGTCTCGCTTGTCTATGGTCTCCACAACTTGAGTTAGATGATGATGGCAACGAATCTGTAAGATTACTTTGGGCTTTGTTTTTAATTAAAAGCCTAAGGCCTTAATTATATCAGTTTCCTAAAAAAAATTAAAACCTTAATCCATTCTTTTTTTGGGCCTAGGGACTGCTGTTCGACTGGGCAAAACTAGGCGACAACTTGTCGCCAAAATCATGCCTAGGCGACTCTGTGAAAAGTATGGATCAAACCTCAAGTCTTAATATTATACTCCACAGAGCAATACATCAAGATTCCTCAAATGTTAAGACATGTCGCGCCGGTCAAATATAATATTGCAACCTCACATACAAATTTTGGGCTAGTTATCCTATCAAGTTGTGACTTTTTAGAATGGAACCCCAAATGGTAATATATTCAACATGAACAACTAGGTGGATAATCCACATACCAGAAATTGTTCTAATCTTCGTGTCACAAACTGATGTACCTATACAGAGGACAAAACCATATTCAGTAAGAGTCAGAAGTCAACAGTTAAGGAAAGCAGGGATGCAACAAAGCAGAGAATAGTTGAAAATAGACCATGTGAACCATTAAAAAGTTCCCACTATGACATGTTCAGCTGCAAATGCAAGGACATGGGAATCACATTTTATTTTATGAAGTTATGTTAGCAGTCAAATATTTGGAATTACAATGTGCACATATGTATAATTGAGATTAAGCATTCAATTTCTGATTCCGGAAACTCCTAGACAAGTATAAGGTAGAGTCATACATCATCAACTGTCCTGGCCTCTACTTTCATGGGCTGAACAGCAGCAGCAAGTTGCAAAGCTTGTCTTAAATCCACATTTCTGTCGTTCTCAACCAGAAGTTGCACCTACAGCAGACAAATAACAAACTGTTGACAAAATGTCCAAAATAACCAATCATTTTCAAATTTCAAGACATACAAGGCCATAAGCAATCCTTCGCAAGCCAAATGGATCATTAGTAGAGCTTGGTTGACAACCAGCAGCAAACAAGCCAACAAGGCTGTCCAACCTGCAGTTAAACATTCTATAAGTAAAAAAATTGAACTCTGACATAACAAAAGTGATAGGTTCTTGTGTAATCTTTCAATATTCCAAGCTCACAGAGATATCAAGAAGGTGAGAAAGATCAACAATGAAAGTTTATTCAAATAAAACAAAAGAAAGCAGACCGTTACAGGTAGTTACAGAGAGTTCTATTCCCAAGTCCCAACAACCAAATAGTTCCAACCTGTCTAACTAAACATAAGGCCATCTATTTCTAATCCTCCACGCGACTCCCAATTACAATAGACCCCTTATTTATTACTTCTCTTCCCTTTTCTAGTATAAACTTTCTCATAGAAGGTAATGACATCTTTATAAGTAGACTGTTGCTTTCCCTGATTCCTATTATCACTCCCCTCCTGAACTACCACCTTGTCCCCAAGGTGGAAATCAGAGAACTGTTCTTGGAACCTTTGCAGCCCTTCCCAAGAATCTTCAAAATCTGGAAGATGTTTCCAATGCACCAAAATCTCTGGTTGCCCTTCTGAATTGACCCTACTGCCCCCCACTTTTTCTGGATACACTTGTAATTCCCAGTCCTCAGTTATACATTTTGGCAGGGGTTGGAAAGGGGTGTTGGGAACCAAACTTTTCTTCAGTAAAGCTGAATGAAATACAGGATGAATAACACACCCTTCAGGTAACTTTAGTTTGTAGGCTACTGGCTTAATTTTCTCAATGACCTCAAATGGTCCATAATATCTAGGGCTGAGCTTCTGATTAATCCTCCTAGCCAAACTTTTTAACTTGTATGGTTGGATTTTGAGATACACCCAGTCTCCAATCTCCAACTGAACTTCTCTTCTCTTTTTGTCTGCTTGTTGTTTCATCATGTTTTGAGCAGTAGCTAATGTGCTCCTTAACTCCTCAATCATGCTATTTCTCTCTGTTGTAAGTCTGGTCACTTCATCATTAGCAGTCAAAGTAGCATCTCCCCTGATCAACACTGGAGGATCCTATCCATAAAGGGCTTTATAGGGAGTGTTTTTCAGGGACACATATTAATTGGTATTGTACCAAAATTCTGCCCAAGGTAACCACTTGGGCCAGCATTTTGTTTTATTGCCTGTCATACGTCTTAGGTAAGTATGAACACACCTGTTAACCACTTCTGTCTGCCCATCAGTTTGTGGGTGATCTGATGTACTATATTTCAGTTTTGTTCCAGCCAACTTGAATAACTCTGTCCAGAAAGAACTAAGAAACACACTGTCCCTGTTTGATACAATGTTCTTTGGAAAACCATGTAGTCTGACTATCTCCTGAATGAATACTTCAGCTACTCCTTTAGCATTATAGGGATGAGCCAATGCTATGGTGTGCAAACTTAGTCAGTCTATCCACCACTACAAAAATAGTATCCTTTCCAAAAGCTTTTGGCAGCCCCCCTATGAAATCCATACCGATGCCAGTCCATATTTGTAAAGGGATACGTAGATGTTGAAGTAGTCCGGCTGGATTCAAGGTTTGATATTTATTTCTCTGACATACATCACACTACTGCACATAGTTCTTTATATCAGCCCTCATCCCAGCCCAATAAAACAGTGAAGATATCCTCTTCATTGTCTTAAAATTCCCAGCATGTCCTCGCACTGCAGATTCATGGAATTCTTTAAGAATTGATGGTCAAACATCCACACTCCCCCTCAAGCTGGGTTGTGAATGTCAAACATCCCAAGCTTGCTAATTAATTCTTCAAAAATGGTTCTCGGTAGAGCTTTTGTAAGAATGTCAGCAGTTTGAAATTTTGATGGAACATAACAGGTCTGAATAATGGAGTTCTCTATTTTCTCAGTGATGAAGCGTCTGTCTATATCAATATGCTTAGTTGTAAACTGAGTAATAGGGATTAAAGATGCAATGAAATCACACTTCATTATCAATAGGTATGGCCAGTATAAATGCATACAAGCTAGAGAATACAAAAAAGGAAACTAAATCAGTCAGATTTACCTAGAATATTTAGTCTATCGCAGAGAATATATTAGTTACCTTATATATACATAGAATATATTGACTATTAAATATGTATATTCTAACACTCCCCCTCAAGCTGGAGCATAGATATTAATCATGCCCAGCTTGGTACAAATGGAATTGATACGTGTCCGCGGTAGAGCCTTGGTGAACACATCTGCCAGTTGGTTTCCTTTTTTGATGTGTGAAGTGCAAATTGTACCATCTTCTACCTTTTCTCAAGTAACGTGACAATCAACTTCAATATGCTTTGTTCTTTCATGAAAAACATGATTATTTGCTATATGGATAGCCGTTTGATTATCACACCATAATCTCATGGGTTCTGTTTGAGCAAATCCAAGTTCACCAAGCAAATGTCGAAGCCAAACCAGCTCACATGTAGTCTGTGCCATAGCTCGATATTCAGATTCTGCACTTGATCTAGAGACAACATTTTGCTTCTTACTTTTCCAAGATACAAGGTTTTCACCAACGAAGACACAGTAACCGGTGGTGGAGGGTCGATCATTAGGGTTTCCAGCATAGTCCGCATCAGTAAACCCTTCAATAACATGATGTCCGTGGTTTTGATATAGTATCCCATGCCCTGGAGCCCCCTTCAAATATCTTAGGATATGAGTAACTGCATCCCAGTGTGATGTTCGTGGAGTGGACAGAAACTGACTGACCACACTGACCGGGAAAGCAATATCAGGTCGGGTGATAGTCAAATAATTCAGTTTCCCAACAATCCTTCGGTATACCTCAGGATTTTCCAGCAAGTCACCTTCATCAGCGGTTAACTTTACATTTGGGATCATCGGAGCATCACACGGTTTTGCCTCAACCAAACCTACATCATTTAGCACATCTAGGCAGTATTTTCTTTGAGACAAGTAAGTTCCCTTGTTACTACGTGAGACTTCTATCCCTAAGAAATACTTCGAGGGCCCAAGATCTTTGGTCTGAAAACAAGTAGCAAGGAAAGCTTTCAGTTTCAAAATACGACTGGCATCACTGCCAGTGATCACGATGTCATCAACATACACAACTAATAGAATGCATCCAGAATTTGAGGTAGAGAAGAAAACTGAGTGATCATAGGCACTCCTGCGTAGGCCAAATTTAAATATTGCAGCACTGAAATGGCTGAACCAAGCTCGTGGGGATTGTTTCAGACCATACAACGATTTCCTTAATTTACATACCTTTCCAGGCTCCCCCTGAGCAAGAAACCCCGGTGGTTGCTCCATGTATACTTCCTCGCTAAGATCACCATTCAAAAAGGCATTTTTAATATCAAGTTGATGGAGTGTCCAATTGTAAGTAGCAGCCAAAGAGATGAACAATCGAATGGATGTAAGCTTGGCAATAGGAGAGAAAGTGTCAAAGTAATCTATACCATATGCCTGAGCATAACCCTTAGTTACTAACCGTGCCTTTAAACGAGCAACAGAACCATCAGGATTCATTTTGACAGTGAACACCCATTTACACCCAATACAAAGTCCCATGTGTGGTTCTGATCGAGAGCCATCATCTCCTCTCGCATTGCCTCTATCCAACCAGGATGAGCCAAGGCCTCAGAAACAGTTGAAGGAACAACAATAGAATCTAAAGAAGCAATAAAGCTCTTGGAAGAAGGTGACAATGTATTATAAGTAACAAAGGAAGGAACAGGATAAGTACAAGTACGAGTACCTTTTCGGAGGGCGATTGGGAGATCAAGGTCGGAGGGAGCAGAATCTGGAGGCGAGGCAGAAGATGGTGGTGGTACACTGGTAGCCATAGTAGGTGCCATAGTCACAGAGCGAACACGATGAGAGTAAACTTTAAGGGGAGGAGGTGGAGGAGGAAGTAAAGTTGATGCGGAAACCTCACTGGGGGGGGGGGGGGGGAGATTCTAGCTGGCTGGTGGTATAGACTAGAAACTCATCATTAGAGAGTTCCAAGGAAGGGGATGAAGATGAACTATGCTGAAAGAAGGGTGTTTCTTCAAAAAATGTGACATCTGCAGAGATAATATAACGTCCCAATGAAGGAGAATAACATCGATATCCTTTTTGTAATCGAGAATAACCCAGAAAAACACACTTGATTGATTTAGGATCAAGTTTTGAGACCTGGGAACACATATCCTGGACAAAGCATGTGCAACCAAACACACGAGGCACAAGAGAGAACAAGGACTGGGAGGGAAATAAAACGGAGTACGGAATCTGACCATTAAGAACAGAAGAAGGCATACGATTGATAAGGTAACACGCAGTGGAAACAGCGTCTACCCAAAATGGTTTAGGAACCCCATGTGAAATATTAAGGCTCGAGCTACTTCTAGTAGGTGATGATTCTTTCGTTCAGCTACACCATTTTGTTGAGGTGTATAGGGACAAGAAGTGTGGTGTAAAATCCCATGGCGAGATAAGTAAGTCTGAAAAGTGCTAGATAAATAGTCTTTAGCATTATCACTTCTTAGAATGTGTATATTCTTATCAAATTGAGTTTGAATTTCAGCATGAAAGGTACAAAATGCAGTAAACACATCTGAACAAGATTTCAAAGGATAAAGCCAAGTAACCCGTGAAAAATCATCCACAAATGTAACAAAATAACGATGACCAAGTTTGGAAATGACAGGACAAGGACCCCACACATCACTGTGAACTAAATCAAAACTAGACTCAACACTTTTATTTATTCGAGGAGGGAAAATTGTTCTATAATGCTTAGCAAACTGACATGCTTCACACTCCAAAACAGACTCCCGTGACAGATTAGGACACATTTTTTGTAGTACAGAAAGAGATGGATGACCAAATTGACAGTGAACTTTCAACAGAGACGAACTTGTGCATGCAACTGATCTCGGCACCGAGGATTCAAAAACATATAAGCCATTAACCAGTCTTCCTTTACCAATAACCTGCTTCGTCCCAAGATCCTGAAAAAGACAATGAGTGGGAAAGAAAATAACACAGCAGTTTAGGGCTTTAGTAATCTGAC